AGAGGATCGCCACTGTCTCAGGGCTCCACCCTGTGACCAGGTGAGCGAGCGCTCTCAGCATGTCCTCAAGTACTGAGATCGTCGAACCACTTGCATGCACCCTCTCGCCCACTTGATCCGGGCACATTCCAGCCTCCACCTGCACTTCCATCACGGAAGCTCTTGCCATGTGGCAGCTGCGAAAGGCAACTAAGCTGAGGGCAGGTTTCGGGCCTTGGGGTGCGCGCATGAACGAAGCAAGGTTGTAGTGCGTGGCAAACAGAGACATGTTCGGCATGACAGATGCATCAAGGGTCACACTACGGAATTTCCATTGGTCCCAGTTACGACCGCGCAAACTCTCTGGAATGTGTTGCACACTGACAGAGAAGACTCAACAGACAAGGATCAGTTATGTTTAATTGTCATCAGAAGGTACTCTCAAATGGGAACCAAACGACCCAAACAAAGAGCCTAAATCATCCTACTCACTCCAGCCCAATGACAACGTCCGAATTCTCACAATTCAAATGGCAAAAGCGCACCTCAGGCTCTATACAATCAGTGCTTGATGAATTCCCATGCCCATGCGAGAAATCCTCCTCATCTGAAGACATGCACACATGCACGGAATGGTCTCCCTTAAGCGCTCCAGGAGCCCAGCCAGGAGCCCGGAGCCGGAGCGTCTCCATTAGGCTCAGCTGGACCAATGGTTGCCCGTGCCAGTCCGACATCACACATCGTGCTTCTTTCGCTGCATTCGGAGCGTGGAACCCTAGTTCCACAAGCTGGTGCATGTCAGTTGTGCTAATGCTTGTCCATCCTGCAGGAACCCAGGCGACGAGAACGATTCTCTCCACAGCTACACGAATCGGCATGTGCCAGTGAGAACGTCCATCAAATCTGTACGACCGGCCACAAAGGATTTCCCCAGAGCAAAGTAGATCTGGCCCACAGTTCACATGGATCCGTCCCTCCGGACTTTCTACCCATGTTCCTCCAGGAGAATTCGGACTCAAGTTGATGAGGAGGGTGGGGAAATGTGCATTCTGGGAATCTTTATGTGGTGCCTGCGATACCGTGCGCTGTGCTTGCAGGGTGATAAAACAGTCACTGACAAAGAATTTCCTCACATGTTCCACCAACAATCTGGTAACAGCAGGGAACTTGAGCGTCGTAGTTCGTATCCCTGCTTTGACATGTACGTATGCCCCGACTGCAAAGGAGTCTGACACAGAGAGGAGCTGGCCGACCAAGTCTAGAAGTTCAGCATCTGTCCAGTGGCCTTTGCAGAGCAGACGTCGCGCTGTAAGTTCAAGGTCCATGGTCCCTAGCTATTTCTACCCTAGTGGCTCGCGAGGACACGGCTACAGCAATTTATGACCGTCCTGCCCCCCCCCCTTCCTTCTCATTACCCCTGTTCTCCTCACAAGTTGCATGTATTGCATTGTCATGGTCCCAACATCTGCCAGAGCCCATGGTGAACTCTCCTGAAATCATCTCCGAAGAAAGCAACGTCAAAAGCCAAGGTCCGAACCAGATACTTAGTAGGCATCGGCACCGCACCAAACTTACGAACTCTGCTGGTCAACTCGACTGGCGGTTGCTTGGGTTGGAGCAACAGTTGTCCTTCCTGCAACCCCGCAAGTGCCCGAATGGCATGAGGCAAGTCACAGAGCATGTTCATTGGCACCGACTCCTGAAACAGTTCTCTACGAAGGACCTGAAGTGGGACGGCTAGCTTGACTTGGGGCCTGCCAAACGTGGCAAGAAGCTGTACCAGTTTGCACCCGAGTGTAAGGAGCGACATACAGGCTGCCAATGGCGAGTCTAGGGAGGGCTGAACCTGAACACAAATTTCCTTACTAGCGTCGCGACCGTTTAGCAGCAAGATAGCCTGACAACTCCCCGCAGAGGAGTCATACGTCAGCCACACCAGCGGCGCCCTCATAACACGCGGTTCCCGAATCCACAGGACACCTGTGGGATAAGCTTCCTCCAATACATCTCGGGCCGGTCTAAGGTAGACCTGCTCGAGCTGCTTGGGTCTACGTAAGATCACTATTTGCCTGTCCAGCAGATAACTCGTCGTTGGCCTGGGCTCTCGATCACGTGGTAGCCAGTGCAGTATCCAACACGGGAGTAGTGCATTCCACTTCTTACGGTCACGAGCATACACCTCCCAAGCTGGACATAGCATCCTATCCACATCCGAAACCAGCTTCGTGTACACTTTCTGAAGCTTCCGAATTGTCAAATCTGAGATCCAAGCAGCTTGTAGGCCACGACGGAAATTGGAGACCGTGCAATGGTTCAAGAGGAGTCGCATGGGATGCATGATGGGACAGCGAGCAAGGTGACCATGGTACGACCATACCCGACGCAGCCAAACCCGCCTCCAATCAGGTCCATCCGTAAGGGAGCACATAAGCTTGACCGAGCGACGACGACTGACCCAGTTATCAACCCAAGGAAGCAGCGGGTCTGTTCCCACACGGCACAAGGAGAGCAAATAGGTATTCTTGCTTCCCTCCACTGATTTCAATGTCCTGGCATCCGGATACATGCACGGGGCAGCCCACTGCCATTTGGAAGTGACAAATGTATCAAAAAGCTGCAATCGGATTGACAGAGGAGTAGTGCTGTCGTCCAACAGCTTCTTGAAAGCATAAAAGGTATTGCTGGTCTTACGCATGAGGTGTGACAGGATCAACTGGGGCCCCGGGCTGTGTCCCAATGGGACTCCTAAGAATACCAGATGGTCCTCTCCCTGTAGCGGTTTCGCCATTCGGGGTAACCAGAGGCCCGGTGTACAGCCCTCGGCATCATTCAGGACTTTACATTTATCAGGGTTCACCGCCAGGCCTATCGTCCTCAACGTCTGCACGATTTCGCGAACCTTAATCTGCAGGCCCTCGGTTTCGGGAGACCCAGAGCGAGGCTCGCTCCTGCCCCACTATCATAGATTTTCGCCCCCGTGCATCAATGGCCTTTCGCAGAGCGACGATCACTGCCTGTTGAACACCCCTGCGAGCACCGAACCCTTCATCAAGGTACAGTAACTCCATCCGACAGATGTTCGACCGAACAAAGGGGGTAATGATGTTTTTAAGTAGGGGGGAGGCCGCAGCTTCTTCAAACAAGGCTCTGACTTCAGATTGGATTTCTTCCCGTTTCGCGTCTGAGTAGCCTCCAAGGACTAACTGCCAGTCGTCCACTAGGGGCCCCGCCACTGAGGAACCTGCCGGGCTAGGTGCCTGGCCTGTACCAGCTCGGAACCCAGGGGTCCCGCCGCCCCGGCGAGGAGTCTGGATAGGACTGACGGACCTACTCTTAACCTCACGGAGCTCAGACTCCATGTCCTTCATGCGTTTAGCCATCTCGTCCCTAAAAGTGCCGAATTCATCCTGCTTGGCTTCGACCCTTTCAAGCCTGGACCCCATTTCACGGAACTCAGCTCGCTGCTCATGGACATTCGACAAAATTTCCCGCTGTCCTGCTTGGAGGGAGGCTTTAAGCCCGTGGAGCCAGGCCGGCTCTTCTTCCTCACCGATGTGGTGATGGGTTGGGCCAGGAGGGCCTCGAGGGATCTCAGCCCCAAAAACCGGGGCCGGACGAAGGCCTGCAGAAACTCCTGTAGGCTGAGGGTTCGGCTTGGTTCTTTTCGGAGGGCTACCATTACGAGTAGAAGGAGGAGGCGGCATTTTATTGATCCTACGAGTGTCCACTTCCAAGGCAGCTTGCAAAGCAGCCGCAGCATGATCGCTATCCGTAAGGGCATGCGCAGTGTGTAGGGGGCTCTCCTCTCTCGCAGAAGAAGCAGCCGCCCTGGCAGCTTGGCGAGCAAGAAAAGTGGGGTCATTCCGCTCGCTTCCCATAGGTTCGCGCGGGGGCATCCTAGGGGTTTCTACCAGCTGCCGCCCCGGGAGAGGCAAGGTCAATCCCGTGTTAGCAGCTATGTTCTGCAGGAGTCCCTCGTTACCATGCACTCCTGTACCTCTGAGCTCGCCAAACGGCACGGTGCTAGCCTGGGAAACATCCGTATCCCCTCTATCGACACCAGCATGCCCATCATCAGGGTACATTGCAACATCCTCCCTCTCACCCAAACCACTCACCCCCTCAACCCCCTCATCGGGCCCCCGCAAAGGAGCGGTATCCCTTTCATCAGGGTTGTTCCGAGTCATGCCAATGAGAGGGATAAACCTCTCTGCAAAGTCTCTGAGGGACTTTAAAGGAGCACAGAGGAATAAACCTCCAGTCTACGGGGGAACTGACAAGCTGGGCTCAGAGCCCTCGAACCCAAACGGCCTTGAGCCAAAACGGCTCCTTGAGCCAAAATGGCTACGGCTCAAGGAGCCATTTTGGCTCAAGGCCGTTTGGGTTCGAGGGCTCTGAGCCCAGCTTGTCAGTTCCCCCGTAGACTGGAGGTTTATTGAAACTTGAGACATATACGTTGCACGACGATGCGCAGCAACACGACTATAGCAGGGTTAAGCTGGAATCAGCCCCTTTTCAGTCGCAGCCATGCTGCAGTGCAACCCTTTTCTTTCAACATGTTAAATTCTACATGCAGCTACACTCAACAACTACTGTCAACGTCGTACATCCTCGAGGTTTTGTGTGTTGGTATGCCAGAACAACAACTGCGTTGAGCCTGTATTGGTGGAAGATGAAGACGAATTGATGTGGTTGCTAATCTGGCCTTCATAGCCTGCTATGTTTATTCAAGTTATTCCACGACTGGGCACCGACTGATCTTTCCGGAAATGCCATTCACAGTGGATTGATTGGGCCTTCGGTTGCAAGTTTATGTGTCTGATAGTGGTGACTGGGCGCAGGATATCCGACCTAGACAGCTTCACAGAAAATGCTGAGCTCCTCAAGCCAAATTATCAAGGGTATGTGAGGGGCTTGATGGTGGCAAAACAGCTCAAACAAACGCACTAGTGCCGACTCTCCGACAGAATGGATACACTTCGTCTACAAGGGCAAAACCTAACGGTCCCTGGCAGCTGTGCCTTTGCACAGAATTCGCGAATATCCAATGTCTCGTCCCGGACGGCGCGCATGTAAGGAGCCTTCTTCCTCGGGCCAACAGCCACGACACATCGCGCATGATGAGTCTAGCTTGAGAGCGCGGCTCCAACGAGCAGCTTGCTGCTAGAAAGCCTCAGACTCATCGAGTCCCGACGTTCACTCTCCCCCCCAAAAAATTGACCGACTCCTGTTCTTCTTGGCTCTGGGCCGCGTCTGTGTGGGCTGTACAACCTTGGTCAGAAAGCCGCCCGGCGAGCTACATCTAAGACAAGATCCGACTACCATCTCAGACTTTCTTGTCTACCATGGTCTACCAGATCCAGGCCTGATGGGAAGGCCGAAGGAGAGGGCGACTCTTGAGCCTGGTCGAGTGCTTTTTGGAGCTTCTTGTTCTTCTTCTTCGCGCAAATCCTTCTAAGCAGGTCGAAACAGAGGCCTTTCGGGTCCAGAGCAACCCGCCGGCTGTAGAGCCTGGGCACCAAGAATTCCTTTCTGCTCACCTCGACCCTTCGGCATCTCTCTCTAGCGTCTGCCAGCTCAACCGCAGTGCTCTTGATTTTGCCCCTTCCGAGCGGTTCTCCGCAGTTGAAACATGAATGCCAGGTACTCCTCTTTGCCGGCATCCACCAATTGGCAGAAGTGACTGTCCTGACTGCAGGAAGCTTGCTGACCCAAAGTATATTATGAGCAAAGGAACCGTCAGCTGCTATGTGTTCTCAGGGTCATGTCGAGCCGCATCCACAGCCGTTAAGGCCTTGAGCGGCAATCGGGCCATACCCAAATGCTGCACGTAGCGGCCCCGCGGTTGCACTCGAGCTTCAAACGAATACCTGGCCGGTAGACAGCTGGGGAGTCCTGTAAATTGTAAATTCTCCAACCATGCTTTGTCCGGTCAAAATTTGCTTTACTGGCGTGAACTATTGCCCTGTCTCCCGCAGAAACGCTGCAGGATATGCTGGAAACTGTCACCGTACAATGGGGGCCCCCGAACCCGTGCCTGAACCCATCTCGAAGAGACATGACATGTGACATAATCATTACAGGGAAGCTGAAGCAGACAATGCGTGACAACACAAGCGTCTGCCGGCGTGGTGCCCGAGGAGTGCAACATCTTCCCGAAGCTCTTCGAGCGGGTAGCCACATTCCTCCACTAAGAAGCGGGCCTCGGTTGAATGCAACATCCGATCTTCACAGATGGGCTGGGTAGTCATCTTTGAAGATCAGATTCGTTCCTCGTTGACTCATCAACTGGGGGGCGAGAGAATGAATCCGACCACTAGATCGGGCAGCTGGGAGTATACTAGGATACTAGATCTAATCGACAGCCTCTTCCAAGTCTCCCGAGCAACCGTTGGCTCGACAACAGCGAGTGCATCTGGCCAGGCATACAGCCCGATGCATTGCCTCACACCGTGTGCAAGCTGCCCTGACAACACATCCTTACAGTACGTACACATTGACACCAGCTTTTAAAGTGTCATCACAGCTCGAAGCTTTCGACATCTTTGGACCCTTGGCACTTCCGCCAGGTTCACACGGGATTCCTCTGCCCGGGTTACTCCCTTCCTGGCATTCAGCCCCTTCCAGCGTTTTGCCGAGCTACGAGCTGGCGGGATCAACTCCAAGAAAGTGGCGCCTTGGTCCAAGCAAGATCCCAAAACTTGGGGGAGGAGGTTCGGTGGAATGACAAAGGTACCCTTTACCGAGAGGGCCTTATCACAAGGAGCCCACACCCAGGGTCCTAATTAACATGACCCTGTTGTCTGAAACTCCCCTTGTCACTTATGTTGTCATGAGGGATATCTTTGTGAAGACAACATTCCGACGTGGGGTACACCTCTGGCAAAGCAATGTCTTGAAATTCCCAGTGTCAACTTGACATGGGAATTGCAGATAACCGTCAGGTCGAGTCTACGTAGGTAGCTCCCGGGCCCTGGCAGGAATCGCACCAGTGGGGCCAGCTGCCGCTCAGCATCCAATGTCCCAAGGAGGAGCATCGGATAGTTTTTCGCCTCGAGAGGAAGAAAAGCTCAAGGCACTCTCAACTCTCGGGTACATTCCGAAGAGCCTTTTCGGCGGCACTCTCTGCATGGACATGCTCTGCGGTACTTCTCTTGAACCGCTTGTAAGGGCTGCACCACATGAGCTAGCTGCTCCGCAGAGAGCTGCGGACCCAACCTGGCTTGTAGAAGCTTGCTTCTCGATCTTCTCGTTTGTATGCAGGTGACCCCGTGGTGATGTTGCTAATAAGTATGACATGTTCCGTACAGTTCGGAGGCTTGCCTGAGAGTACGAGACATACTTGGTAGAATATACGTACGCACCACCCACTCCACGGGCTGGATTGAGTCAACTTTGCCAAGTTGTACGCTCACAACAAACATGGCTTGGATTGGATTGGGCAATGCCGGGTTCGCGGACTGCAAGTGGAAGCTGAAAACAGAGAGCCAAGTGAAGCCTTAGAACAACAAACAAATTACGAAACGACAAAGCCAAGGCCCGCAATACTTCCTAAACAGGTTCCACTTGCTGCTGGAACCAGCCGGGCAAGCGGATCCTTGCGCAGGAAGTGGAGAAGCTTGGAAAGATCCTCACAACTTGTAACTTATCAACAATGCACAGCGTCCTGGCATCCAGTCACATGCTCTGGCCTCATCCTCCCCCCGAAATGAATCCTTTTTGCAGGCTTCAGACTGAAAGGCATCCTGCGGCATGCGCAGTAGCAGTCGCGGCGCCCTTCTTGCAGCCTCCACGCATGAAATGTCTCAAACATCTCTCCCACCAAATCACCAGCAAAGGCAGGCTCTACATCAATGAGCGTGGCTCGGACGCCAAGCAGTGACAATACTTCTTTCGCCTCCCTTGTGGCGGCTAGTAGCATCGAAGGCCTCCTCCCAGGGCAGGCCCCAAGAAGTGAAAAGCTCCTGCAATTCCGCGACGGCTGACCGGCTCGCCAGGAGCACCTGCGTGAGCACGGCTTTCTGGACTGGAAGTCCACAGACGTGTCAAAAGCTCCTACGCAGTCCTGCCTCACTGTCCCTGTGAAGTGCGAGTCTGCTCATGCATGCCAACAGGGAACAATAACAAATCAGAAAAAATTGCGACACATTGCGACCCTACGCGACTACATGCTCCAGAGTCAGAGTGCCACGGGGGCTACTCTCGGGCTGCCGCTTCCTTGGTGCATCGGCTTGCTGAGGTGGTCGCGTCCGCTGCAGGCACTGACAGCTCCATCGTCCGCCAGCGCTTGTTTGAGCAACTTGCCACCGCGGTTGCTTGGCCGAATGCTCGTCATGAAACATCGATTGCAGCCTTAGGCCTTCTGCCTGTGCGCATGGGCCGAACTGTTCGTCACCCCCACGGCGTGGGCGACTCAGCCGAGGTTTCTTTTGACCCTTTCTTTCACATGTCCCCGGGCATGCACATCGATGCTACGGAGTTCCAGTGGTATTTGTCTCGGTGCTCCGTATCAGGGTCATCGCATATCCCTCTGGGGGGGACTTCTGGCCTAGCCTGCACATGCTTTGTCCATGAGCGTAAATTCGTTGGTTAGAAGCTGGAGGTCATGAGTATTGTGAGTGTTCTTATGCTCGCGAAGACAAGTGTCATAGAGTCTTTCCTACGGTATTGTTTGATTCCACGGGCCCTCAGTCGCCTGTGAGTTTTCTGCGGGATCGTAGCACCAGTCTCCTTCCCCCAACCGATGTTTCCGATGCCAGTGTAAGTTATCACAGCTGTCACAAAAGTGCATGCTTCCGTCGTTGTGAGACAACAGCAACTTCTGCACGCACGCATGCACGAAGCCGCATGTATGTATGCATGCACGGAGGTACGTCACGAATGTATGTGCACGCACGTACGTACATATGTAAGTGTATATGCACGTGTACATATACATATACTCTATATACATATATATATATATATATATATATATATATATATATTTGTTTGTTTATTTGTATATGTTTGTGCGTGTACACATTGCACAGATCTTGGGATACAAATCTGTGAGACTAAACTACTGGTAGTTGGGCTGCCTGCCTCAGGAAACTTCTGCACCAGCTCGCTGAACCTTGCTATGTTCAATCTGATGCTTTCTGTGGGCTGATGAGGAAAGGCGCAGCATAATAACAACAATGACAAAATAATAATAATAATAATAATAATAATAATAATAACAGCAAGAATAAGATACCACTACTATAACATAGTCATCAAGAAAAGGGATAACAATATTAATTCAGCAAAAGATTTAAAACATCGAATGGCTGGCCGAGCAGCACGTCTTTTGGAAGCGAGGCTTGGAGTGCTTCAGCAGTGGCCTGAGCTCCCCGCTACTCGAATGCACAATTATAATACTAATAAGAACAATACCAATAGTAATAATACTAATAATACTACTACTAATAATAATAATACTAATAAAAATAGCTGAAGCTCCACTTCGGAGCCCGGATCCGCCCCTAATCTCCTGGCCTGAAGTTCTGCCACTGTCGCAGCTAGGAGCTCCGGATGGCGCCCGACAGCAGCGCGAAGTGTCTGGAGCGAGGGGCGGAACGGCAAAGAAGACAAGGGCAAGAAAGTGTACGACAACGAGTGAAGGCGGTCAACCACTCGCACCTCGTCTGGGACAGACCACGAGTGCAGCAGCTGTAGAACCTGGTGGTTCCACGCGGCTCTGAAAAGTCAGCGATGCGGGAAGCCCTCAAGCACAGGGCGGTAGCGGTGCGAGTGCTGTCATTGTTGCCCTGCTCTTTTGCGTTTTTGCTGGCCGTGCTCAGTCGCTGTTGCTGCTGCTGCTTCTCCTGATTCCTCTTGCGTCCACAGTGCCTTCGCAGCAGCGGTGGCCCCATGCTGGCACGGCAGGGGGTGCTGAAGCTTCACCAGGACTCGCTGCACACCGTCTGCAGGGAAGCCGATATCAAGCAAAAGGTCCTGGCGCTACAGGCTAATCAAAAACTGATCTGCAGCTAGATGTATGGAAACAAGCGCCATCAACCAACAAAGGGCGAGGTGAGGTCCGAGTGCCGAGTGCACTGCAACCAAACTGGAAAGCAGCATAGCACGCGTGAGCTTGCCGGAAAAATCCCAGCAGTCCTTCAAGTCTTGCGGCGCCTTGGCCAGGGCCCCCCTCCATCCGACTCCCAAGGCGGCCAACCTGTCATGCGCAGTACTTGCGCACGCAGTTTAAAGAATATATAGAGGCCAGGCAAAGGTGCTCCCCCGGCACTCTGCAACATGCCTCGGTTCCTTTCGTCAGTCCAGCCTTCGCCAGCGATGTGGACGCATGAGCGCCAACATCGCGCGCGGGAGTTGGATTCGTCGTGCATTTGCATGTGTAGAATAGTCTGCCAAAAAACCGCTCGATGGAAGCACTGAGTTGTGCAACTGCAAACTACTGCATGAAGAGCACTTGACCGTATGTGGAGTCTTCGCAAGGCTGCTGAGAAAATCGATGTTCTGAGCCTGAACGCCTGCCTTCCTCTGCTCTTGCCCCCGGACATGGCTACGAATTGGTGCCCAAGCTGAGTTTCGTGCATGAAGTAGAAGCCCCTGCCCCCGCGGCAGCAGTTCACTTCATACGCCTCCAGAGCGGGCAAGCTCTGGGAGACTAAACGGAATGCAGGACACGTGAAATAGCTCAGCGGCAGATGCCTCCTCGCCAGTTTCGGTGATGTTGTACCTGTGCCAATTCAGGTTCCAGTTCTCCGACAGCTTGACCTTGGCATCATCGGAAGGCGCAGGGGCAAGGATGACGGCACACCCGTGTGTCTTCTAAGAAAAACCAGCTCACGAAGCAACATGCAGGCGTCAAAATGCCGGCAATGCTTTCCTCGTTTCATCTGATTCTTGTGAAGAGCAGGCATTGCTGGCTACGCAGCCCGTTCACCAGGTGAGCTCTCTCACCCAGTTCGCTTGAAAATGTGGCCAGTTGCACGGTGGAGAGACCGTCCATCACAGTGATAGCAAAGGAAAAGGAATGCCAATCACTGCGACAATCAAGTACGGCAACTGCCGACTATATTCTATAGTCTCCCACCTTGCTCTCAAGAGACCATTGCGTGCTGCTCCAGCGGCAGCCAAGAAGTGCCATCGTATTACGTCCAGATTCGACGAGGCTATTTTGGGTTCTGGGGCAGGGAACGCAGCCAAACGTCACTCCTGTTTCAGCTCCTGAAAGATGTGCCGAAAGCCTGTCGCACGTCCGCAGTCTTCCACTCCCAAGTTTCGAGGCATGCGAGCTTGCAAAGGCCAGCGCTTGCACAGACAGCCCGCGCGTGATTACGAACAGTCTCTGAAATCTTGAAGGTATTGAGCCACGTCGCAGAGTTGGAGCCTTCCTGTCCCAGTTACATCGCCAGTTTCTGCATCTTGCCCTCGGGGGGGTACCTTCATGCCAGGCATATCCAAAGCTGCTCTGATCGACTCCGAAAACCAGAGCAAGCTCGGTCCATGGCTGCAGCTTCGTCGCCAAGCCGAAAGCCTCTCGAGGTTCAGTTCGAAGCACTGCTTTGTTAGCTGCGTGGTTTCCACGCTTGTGACGCCGGGCTGGATACTTCGCCGAGTAGGATTCTGTGCAGAGTGATTGGACGGGACGCCCGGCCCATGACATTGTCAACCAGACTTTTCGATTGTCTCTCTGCGGCTGAACGGCAGTCTATCACAGCTCATTCTGGTGCGCTGTTTAGGCGGCCAATACAAGAACCCGTTAGCTTTCATCAGCACTTGTGTTCACTACACAATCATCGAGATTGAACTGCCTCCAGGAACTTGACGGTGTACCAAGTGAAGTCTACCTGCGCCAAGGGCTGTGCCCCAGGCTCCCTAGACTGCGGCAAAGCCAGGCCGACAGGCCTGCCACCATTTCAAGCCGTGCCGGCACGACCGCTCCTTAAACGACAAGATTGTGTATCTTGCGAGGATTTGAATAACACAACAGGACATTCATCAAGGCTTAGCCGCAAAGGCGTGGTGATTATTGTGCCAGCCCTCGCCGAAGGCCAGGATCCCGATCTCAGGAAATTTGGAAAGCTCTCGCGACATCCAAAAACAGCATCCTCCAAGTTGAGCGACTCGCGGATGCAAGCTGCGGCTAGACTCGGCTAGACTCGATCGGACTGACCAGAACTCAGCCAAAAGCAAGCCAGTTGTTCATCGAGAGATCGCCTGGCTTGACGGGGTTGGGAGGGAGGAGTTCCGACTTTGCATGACCAGCTATCAAGTTCCGGCTCGAAGCGATGCAACTGACGGAGGCAGAACCGTTGCTGTACCCGGCCTGTCTTCCAGTCTTGAAATCCCCAGACCTCAATCTTCAGCGCATCTACAAGAAAACGACCTACTGCAACCTCGAGACTCGAAACATCACATAAGACTTTGGGCCTCCCAAAAAAAAGCCTACAGCGACAAAGGAGTCAGACTCAGTGCCTGGCGTGGCTGACCTGAGATTCTGAATCAGAGGATTTTCCATGCTGTTCTCGGTGGGGTTGCATACTACTATGCGACGGGTGTAGGAATAAGCGTCAGCGCCTATTGAGTCCGTTAATAGTTCGTACCGTGTGGATTGCCGAGTGCTTCGGTGACGTCGGCTGTATACAAGGTAGGAGAACTGCGTCCAAGTCACAGAATTTACAGCCCAGGTGATGTGCCAGAACCTGCCCACACAGCCAGAGGCTGCACAAACTCCCAGTCAGCCACAATTCAACTCTTGAGTACTGCTGAATACCGGGGCTGGCACCACACCACCTCAGTTCGACAACATCAAGAACCAGCCACAGAAACCGAAACCTCAAGAAAAATTGTCGAAGGACAAGATCTCACATCATGCTTGTGGGCTGCACCAATAGAATATTAACGAATACTGCGCCGAGCTGCACGTACGAAAAAGCCCCACAGAACGCAGGGCAAACCGCCATACGCGTAGAGGGCCAAGATGGGCAGCACCACACCTTGGTTTTCTCCAAGCGGTAGGTTTCGTCTGTCTTGTGCCTTCCGTAGCGTGAAGCCGAGTCCGAGCAGCAGTGTATACCATAGGTCTTCTGAAGGAACTGGTAGAACCACTGCGACCTGAGCAGCTCATGTCTGTCACATGGAGCCTCCAGCCTCTGCAATGGGGCTCCTGCGACAAATCTGAAGCGTTCTTCTTGTCACGCCGGATCTTTGTTCCATCCGCATCAAATAGCCACCCCATGTGAGACCTTAAGCTCATGATGTCTGTTGCTGCGAGGCCTTCCTGGGTCCGCCAGGACGGCACACGGGCGATGAGGTTCTCTCGAGGTATCGACGAACACTCAAGCACGACGACATTCAACATACGGTGCCGTGGTTTGTTGAGTTGGCTGTAGATAGTCAGATAGTGACAGCAGAACAATCTTACATGCTGACCAAACCTTTTTTCAACGCATGCTTCCCCTGCATCAGATGTTGTGCCGGGTGCGGGGCCACCAGAATCCGTCGCGAGGAGAATGCACATCATCCTGACACTGCGTTTGCAAAATGGATTCGCTGCATAGAGACACGATCAGATTCTTGCGAAGCCCCTCAGGAGCTACCCTTGGTACGGTTTACGTTCACATGCCTGCCGGCTTTTCTGACGTGGGAAGCATCTCAAGTGAGTTACTTGCTTGGGGCCAAGGGCTTTTGCTGGCATCCTCGGCATCGGTGTTCCCATGATGATGCCGGTGGGAGGATACCCAACCTTTCAGCACATCGTAGCGCCGCTGCAGGCATTATAAGCTGTGTATCGACTCTACTGATGCTACAGCAGTGCACCTCCATGATGCGTGGTCTTTTCCGGGGATGTGCTGGTGTCCGATCTCGGGCTCCCACTGATCGGCGGCCCCTGAACGGCTAAGGCGCCGCAATAGGCGAGAAAATACCTAAGCATCCGATGCAGAAATTGATCGAGGAAGCCCGAAGAAATCAGCAAGGGAGCCAAAAACCCCTGGATGTCAAACGCAGCCATGCCGTTGCTGCTGGAAGGGTGCATGTGGCGGACAGGGCAGCAGCTAGTGCAGCTAGTGCATGAATGCAAGACTAGGCAAAGATGAAGCACAAGGCTGCCTGAGGCTGCAGCTCTAACCACTTCGGGGTCACCTGAGCTTCTCAACCAATGCCAGACCAACCGAGATCATGAAGTTGAAATCTGAGCCGAGGACGAACGACCGATGAGACAGCTGCCGGTGGTACGACAGCGTCACCCCAAGCATGCCTGCGTGGACATTCGACAATCTGTTTCCCAGCGTGCTCCGCACACGGTACCATGCCTGTCATGACGTAGCCAACCTTGGCCAAGGCACACCGCGCAAGCCAGCAATCGACAATCCCACGGTTTTGAAAGGTCCTCCCACTTAGCTTGAGGCACAGAAGCAGGCGAATGCCTGGAAAGGGTCTGAGCAGGGCTTCAGAGTCTCAGCACGAGCCGGTCCCCACAACATCGCGCGCTACTCAGGAATCCAGGAAGTGCGTGGCTGATGGCCTTCCACGTAAAGAAGAAGGGAGCAGCCAAAGCCCCTAAATGCACCTGAGCTCGGCTAGCGGCAAGAGGTACCTTGTTGAATCTCATCACTTTCATGGCCACTGCTTCTTGACAGAGGGCAGCTAGCTTCCAAATCGCTCCAGGATGTGCGGGGGTCTACGTAGACCCACTTATCGTCGGGTCATTTGTAACGGATCAGGCCTTGATACTCCCGGGATCGAGAGCCCCGTCCACAGAACCAAGTATCAGATAATCGGCCCCCTTCTCCCTAAACCCCTTAAAGTTTGTAGGCTCTAAGCCCTCTGATCTGCTTCGGAAGAAATACAAGTTTGACAGGGCATCTGTTACCCGACACCGTTTCAGGCACCCGCGAGCCCGCGAAGCTGATACCTGCAGCTATCCGATGTAGGCAAGCTGCGATGGCTACGAAGATCGCTTGGCGAGAATCTTCGGCACACCACCTTTCCAGGTTTTGCGCTCAACCGTCTTACACTTTCGACACCATGCTACGACCGTTCTCGGACAGCTTCCTGACAGAGAGTTGTTCCCGGCCTGCGCGCGAAAAAATAGTTCCTGTTTGACGACAAGGAGCTGAGAATGCGGAATGGCAACATGGAGTGCGATTGTCATCTTAGGTAAATGAAGTTCATACTGCAAGACTTGAAGGTCAGCATGTACCTTCCGAAAGGAACACGCGCAGTGGATCAGGTTAACTGCGCTCAGCCACATGTATGTTGCTGGACTTATTGTCACCCGCGAAACACTGAACATCTTAACGGCAGCGTCCTCGGTGAGACGGAGTAGTTCCAGAATTGCCTCTGCAATCGGATCCGTCAGGCCGAATGTCGAAACGCAAGAAATCATCAAATATGCTCCGTATTTCGCGTAATCTGATCCGGGCATTCACCAGGCATAGCTGCAATCAAACGACGACGGCCTAAGTCAAGTGAAAGCCGCTTGGTAGCCCATTGTCTCCAAACCAGAGCTCGTGACCCCGGACTCGGCGAAAATCAGTGTCAAACAGCGATTGCAGTCTGAGCCAAGGAGGCCTGTTCCGAAGGGAGAAGAACCTCTGGAGCCAAGGCCCCAAAGGAACCACCTGACGCCCTTTCCTGGCAGAGTTCAGGACTTGACTGTGGAGACAAAATCTGTCCTTCTCCTGTTCCCACCCTAGGTTTTCACAGACGCCTCTGTGGGGAGGCGGCTTCGGTCGACCGAAGGATCGATGTCGCCTTGGCGAAGTTCAGATCAAAAGGCTCGGCGCTTCAGAGTAATGCAGAAGCCGATCTCTCTTCAGCCCGGGTGTGGTCTGCCAACGACCCCTTCACGAGCTGCACTTTCGGTTTGCGTGCCTCGAGCTCCGTCTTCGTCGGCAAGAGTGGGGCTATGCAGGTGTTGTCAGACGTTTCTCGATTCTCGTTGACTTCTAGAATCGTGCCGATTGGTTTTGTGGCGCAGATTCGCAGCAGGTCGACGTCCATGACCTGGCATGTCTCTGTCTTCGTTGTGACGACGTGTGCACTGGACAGGTTGTGCGATGTTTGTGTTCTCCAAGTGTTCGTGCGAGTCGTTGCAGACGAGCGTTGATGTCCGCCCAGGCTACATGAGAAATGCAGCAGTGCTGCGCCAAGCCGTCTTCTGAAGGAGCCGAGACCTGCAAGGCTGCCAAGAAGTGCCGTCCTGCATGCTCAAACACCCATGCGGCCCATGCGCCTGCTGCCAGGAAAGCCGCGCTGGCTGAGAGCACCTGCCACGCAGACTTCCTAGCGGCTCTGCGGTCTGCTCGGGAAGGCTGGCCCTGCCTGCCGCCTGCATGGAGGCGCCGGGCGTGTCGTTTGGAGGGCATAGTGGGACCGTGAAGGCGGCCTGAAGCGGAGCAGCGGAGCAGACGCCGACCCTGCTGCGACCTCTCGCGGGCCCACGCCTCGGCAAAGTTGGCACAAGCTGGTGCGCAGCTAGAAAGGCTGCCATGGCTGCACCGCTGCTTGGTGCAGGCACATGCGAGGCACAGCCTTGCACCGTCTCAAAGCCATGCTGCGAGCCCGAAGTGGCAGAAGATGGCAGATGCATGTACATGTCATGAACACATGGGGACGGGGGCTGGAATGCATGCCCTTTTTCGGATGAATACGTCGTTTGTGCTTGCGGCTGCTTGTATTCCTCCTGTTTACATGAAGCCGATAAGGATTGGAAGCGCTTGTTTGCTCCGGGATGAAGGTGCAGACGGACTACCATTCAGGACCATAGCTTGCCCCTGCTGACCCAGATCTCTAGCCATTAAAAACTGCTTTTGCTACAGCTACTACTCGAAACTTCCTAGTCGTCGGTCCGAGGAAGTCTTGGAGCCGAGCACTTTCCAAAGAGACCTCGGCAGATCGAAGTCTCTCAGAGTGCTGAGCTGAGAGCTGCTGGGGGGAGCTGGGGAGGGCTGGGGGGGGCTGGGGGGGGGGGGATCACTTTGGCCCCACTTGGCTTCGAGCCATCTCGTTGAAGGAAACCAGCTCGCCTGCGGCGTGCGCACGCACGGTGCACGCTTCACACGTCCTCTCTGTGCTCTTCTGTGACATGGCAGAAGCGGGCATGAAAGCCAAAGGCCGGCCTTGGGTTCGGTGCGAAAAGAACGGATTCACCTGGGCCAAGAGCTGCAGTCACTGTGGTTCGGAGGACCGTCGGGCACCGAAACTCCGAACCCTTAAAAACCGGGCGAAAGCTGAAGTAAAGCCTTTCTGCCAGACCCGTTCTGAGGCACCGACGGTAAGCCAGGAGGCCATGGTTCCGTCCTTCGCGGGTTGATGAAAAGACGCAAGAAGCCAAGCCACAATCGAGACATGTCATGAAGCCCGAGACACGCCTGCAGCTCCACACGGCGTGAGGTCGCCTGCTCCTGCGCCGACGCTTTTGCACGGACCTCGGGCCAAGGCGTGCACGCCCCAGTCTGTCCAGGTACCACATGCGCCGCTTCCATTGCGATCGGTCGCCTGACGCCCACTGACCACCTGCCCAACAACCTGCGAAACCTTTCGATCGGAACACAATGAAACGGGCAAGTGTTGAACTTGCGTTGGTGACAAGGCTTTGAAGGTCTGATCAGGAACCTGTCCAGATAAAGCAGACACAGCTGTCCACCCTGGCCCATGCATGTCGGACTACTCACACAGCTAGGGTCAGGAGCGCGCAGTCTGCATAAGAGCATGGCGCCCATGTACATGCCGGTGCGGATATGTTGCCTGGCCAGCGGGGCGTTTTTGACAGGTTGGAGACGGGACCGATGGCTGTCGATGCAGACTCCTCCAAGCTTCCGTGCTGGCTAAGGGGAGGAATTCCCCTCCCCCTGTGTTGAGGGGGGCCATGTCTGTCCAGCGTCTTACTCGGACCTTGGCTTGGCATGACCATGAGACATCTGATCCCAGCTCTGAAGCCTGCACTTTCTCGCGATCAAGCTTAAAAAGCCCTGCCTTTAAAAGGCCCGGGCAAATGACAGTCAGCAAAACTGCGCGGATCCATTTTGTCTTGTCCACTCATGAACAAGTCTTGACCAGGGCGAATCAAGGAATCCCACACTGAGCATCCGTAAGGTCGAATCTTGAAGATTGTATGACTCGGAGGTTGCAAACGCAAAGCCTTGGCAAGGCTACGCGGCTACACCGTACACCAGGAAATGGACCCTTCGCAACTCAGAGAGGATCACGTGCTTTGTCGGCTGAGGTCCGACAGGTTCAGTCGGCTGAGCATGCCGTGTGTACATACTTCACAGCGATGTTTCATAGATTTAAATGGGCTCTCGTATCGAACTCCCGTATACTTTCACTTTGCATGCGAATGGCCGGGATCAGCCAAGCAATGCAACGGTCTCTCTCGAAATAAGCATCTACAGGCGCTGTGTACACAGCAAAAGGGCAAAATGTAAGCTGCAAGCTCGGCCATTATGGCGGGTTCACAACCGTGTCAGACACCCACAGCTCCACCCGACTGGCAACAATACCGTTTGGTCCTGGAAATCCGCCGTTATACTCATTGAAAGCGCCGATGGAGTACCACCAGTCGTCGGAGTCGCCAAGACTGGAGCCGTCCAGTAACGTGGATCTGCCGTTGTAGTGGAGTCCACCCCAATCCTGACCGGTGTATGGCACGACGATGGCCTCGTAGCCAGTGACTGTCCCGTCTGTTACCGGGTTTGAGCTCTGACACCAAATCTGGTCATCAAGTTGAGATCCATCGTCCTCCTTGATCCACCTCATCATGAAGTAGAATTTCCCGCTAGCTTGGTAGTTGTTATCAAGCTGGTCCAGGATGGCGTAGTTATCAGCCAAGGCATCGTTGTCGTTCAGCGATAGCAAGCCTGGATGGAAGAAGAAGTTATTTGTCTGGCGAAACAGGAGCGTCCAGGTTGCAGTGGGTGCGGTAGGTGCAACAGGCGTCACCGGGAGAAACGCTGGCGGGAGTGGTGGCGATGGTGGTATCGCTAACGCTGCATTGGATACCCACAGCTCCACCTGGCTGGCGACAATACCGTTTGGTCCTGGAAATCCGCCGCGATACTCATTGAAAGCACCGATGGAGTACCACCAGTAGTCGGAGTCGCCACGACTGGAGCCATCCAGCAAAGCGGTGTTCCCGTTGTAGTGGAGTCCCCCCCAAAACTGACCGGTGTAAGGCACCTCAATGGCCTCGTAGCCAGTGACTGTCCCGTCTGTTACCGGGTTTGAGCTCTGACACCAAATCTGGTCATCAAGTTGAGATCCATCGTCCTCCTTGATCCACCTCATCATGAAGTAGAATTTCCCGTCAACTTGGTAGGTGTTATCAAGCTGGTCCAGGATGGCGTAGTTCTGTGCCGTCGGATCACCCGGGTTCAGCTCCAACAGGTTTCGAATGAAGAAGAAGCTGTTCGTTTGGCGAAACAGGAGCTGCCAGTTTGCATCAGGTTGTGGAAGCAACGGTATCGGGTCAGGCAGTGGGGCGGTCTCCAGTTCCACGGTGGACACCCACAGCTCCACCTGGCTGGCGACAATACCGTTTGGTCCTGGAAATCCGCCGCGATACTCATTGAAAGCACCGATGGAGTACCACCAGTAGTCGGAGTCGCCACGACTGGAGCCATCCAGCAAAGCGGTGTTCCCGTTGTAGTGGAGTCCACCCCAATACTGACCGGTGTACGACACGTTGATGTCTGCATAGCCATCGACCGACCCATCGGTGGTGGTCACAGGGTTGGTTGTCTGCGTCCAAACCTGGCATGCCAAGTTCTCGATCGGCCAGCAGAGCTTGAAGTAGAAGGCCCCACCAACTCGGAAATCCTCGAGATCGCCCAAGATGGCAAAGTTGTCCGCAGTCGTGTCATTCTCATTCAAAGTCCACTGCGGGGAAGTCTTCTCGAAAACGAACGGCACTGTCTGTCGAAAAACAAGTTGCCACGGGTCCTCGACACCCCACTCCACGACATAGGTCGCTCCGGTAATTGAGTTGCGGACGATGGTGGGCGAGCTTCCAACATTGGCGCAACCCCATGTTGCGAGGTCTGACCCGGCCCGAAACTCCTCTTGATCCTCCATGTCAGGTTCGTTCTGCCACCAGATGTTGCTGGAGCAGAGATCGACTTCGCTGCCGCACTGACCGCACACGGAAACATGGTGAAGCGTGGCCCTCTGCACCACGAACACACTCACCCCATCTTCCGCAAGCGTAAGGAGGGGTGAGGCGCCGAGCTTGTCACAGCCCCACTCCGACAGATTGCTGCTGATCCGGTAATAAGTTTGGAAAGGATGATATTCAGAGGCGTCGAGGCACATGATGCGGTTGCACTGAGTACAGCTGCCCACGTAGTGGATAAAGTTTCCGCGAGGGCTGTTGCTTGTTGGAGGATTCTGCGGCGTTGGCTGTTGTTTTGGGAGGTCGTCCCACCAGGTTGGAGTGTACCACCGGCTCCAGCGATGAGGACGGCGCCAAACCGTCGAATTCGCCTCCGTCTTGTCATTGTTGCCATAGTAGCCGTTGGCGGAGTGAGGCCCACGTCGGTAGCGATGTGGGCGCCGGACTTCCTCCTCACTTGATGTCGCAGACAGTTTTGCCTGCACGAATCCGGCTTCGTCGGAGAGGCTGGGATCCGCTAACTGCTTCAAGGGACCATCACAGTCATGCAAGGCATGACAGACACTTGCAAGGACGACCAACGCCCTCCCTGCCATTCTTGGCTTCGAGCTCCACCTACGGTTCGGTCACTCGATGTTACCCGCTTGCACGAGTGCTGCTGGAAGCTTGAACCAAAAAGGATTCGTAGAAATGCTATGTACAGATGACAAGATATGACAAGGACTCGCAGGTTCCGTGCAGTATGAAAGTTGCAGGTGCCGTACATGCCGGGAGCGCAGCTGCACAACATCACCATATCGAATTGCTCGTGATGAGACGCCGGACAAGACCTGCAAATCGTGGGAGGTTCTTGAATTTGCCGTCTCCTCTCCTGAAACGATCCCGTCGCATCCAGAAGGATGACCCTCGCCGGCCAACAAACGGGTCCGCCCTGAATGTGGAAACAAAGTCTTTTAACGCAGCAGATTCCGTCTCTGTCGGCTTGTCAGTCTTGACATGTCGGTGCACTTGGTCTGTCTGCCTGCGAGTTGGCTATCTGAGAGGCCATTTACAGGCCGGTGGCTCCTAATCTTGGCATCATGGATTGTATCTACAAAGGGTGCAGGAGCCTAGGGGGCAGCCCATGTTCTCTAAACGTCAACGTCGCGAGTTCGGGGCCGCTGCATTCAGGTTCTCTTCATGCTCCCGCCTGCACAGGGACCGCTGCTGAACTCTTTGGGTGTGACAGGGCCTGGAGTGATAGTGGATGCCTTCGTGACTGCAGTCTACAGCCCTCGCAAGGCATGAACTCCAAACTTGTGGATCGGCAGAGCTACGCCCCAAGCCTTGCCCTCTCCTCCAGATTTCGCAACTCCACCGCCAAGGAGGTGCCACTTCCCCCACCCAGGGCGGCCTGGGAAGGCACCGATGCGCATACAAAGCAGGCTGACAGCCAAAGCCGCGTTGACACCTGGCTCTGGCTTTGAGCTATCCAGCCTTAAGTTACACCTGGGGAACTGCAAATTGTTATGATGCAGCGCGGGGGGAGAAGGACGGCGGCAAACTCTGCTGTAGGACCCGGTCACAGTGCAAGTCTGAGGAGAATTTTGCATAAGCTTGTGATAGCTTACCACGCGTCAGGCGAACTTTATAGCACGCAACACTTACTTGCGGAGCTGCTCATTTTCCAGCTACGTTCTCGAGATGCACAAAAGCCTCTGGTGGCTCGAACCTGAGGGTGCCACGAGAAGCTTCTTCCTTTTGCGAAGGTCCTGTCTTGACCACTTCGGACATGGTCCGGCAGGCTACTTACTGCTTGAAGGTTGCATGCCCACAAGAAAGGTAGTCATTCTGTGGAAGATAAGTTGTGCTATTCTGCCATAGCCCGAACCATGATGTATGGGTATTCACTAGATAATTGGAGAAATCAGCAAAACCCTTGGTATGCGTGCGGATGCGTGCAGTTTCGTTGTTATGCTTGTATCATGAAAGGCTTCGTGATTATCTTGAGGCCTTCCTTAATCCGTGCCGATATAGCAGTGTTGGACCTTGATTCGTTTTAGTGACCGGGTGGACATTACAGAACATTCCCAGAAGTTCATGTATGTATTTCTTGCAGCCTGCACTGTCAAACATACCGTCGAGTACTAGTCGTGTGTGTGTGCGCTATGTCTGTTCGTACCAGGCACAACATCAAGTCTCCCACAAGTATCGCCGCGTTCGACTCTCCAGACGTTTTGAGCCGGTGTGCGAATTTAGCTTGTCCGGGATTTACCGTAGAAACATATACAGAAACAGTTGTGTCCATCATGCGCCTGCAATACACACGCAGCAACAGCAACAACAACAGCGGCAAGATTGGATTGTTCCCTTGATTATGGTCAAGCACGGGGTCTGCAGTCGTGAAACCTTAACCTCGAAAGCGGCCAAAACTAAAGCATGCTGTTGGCGTAGATACAAGTCAATGAAAAACTTATCAGCTACACATATGGAACCCGCAATGCTGTATATAGGCAGGTATCAGCAGTTTTTCGTGTAAACCGCATATTGTGTAGCCTACGTGCGCTTTAAATGTAAAACAGGATGTACCAAAGATGTGTATCTATGTGCCTGCTTATCTCTCCAGGGAATGCTGGGAAGTCTGCCAACATGCATATCAGCTGTTTTCGGCAATACATGCTATCTATGCGGTCCAAACTAGATGTATACACGTCAATGAAATATTTCAAAGTTATACATAGAATCTGAGTTATACATAGAATCTGAGCTGTCATTCAGACACACTCCGACTAAGTACGTAGTATTGCATATAACCACATATTTTGCTCCGCAATTCAGTTCTACGCCGTTTGGTGAACTTCAGATCTCAATGTCCACATACATACATGCCTCCATACATGTATCTACATATAGCTCTATATACCTGCCAACCTATCTCGGGGCATATCGGCAATGTTGCACATGTGCACAGGTGTGGAAACACCTGTAAGAACGATCAAGATACACATGGGCACATCTGAGTAAATGGGCACATATGTAACTGAAGCCAGATTTACATACATGCCGCAGAGTTGCTGTTCACGCGTGTATACATGGAAACATACTTATATAATACTTTAAGAACACCTAGTACATAGTATGGGGCTAGCTTAGCAGAAAGTACTTACATGCAGCACTTTGTTCGAAATTGGACATTGCAGCGAATAACAAGTTGCACATGAGTTGCAACTTTCTCGTTAGTCGCACGAGACAAAAAAAAGCATGTGGTGATTCCCCTTGTCGCGCGGGAAACCAGCGACACAACCGTGGAGCAGGTACCCAAAAAAACAAAATCACGCGAGACAACACATCATAATGACTAAAGACAAGAATACTACAGTAGTATTTATCCAAAAATGCAGTTTCCACGATTTTAGCATGTGTGTTGTTTTGTCTTGGCGGCGTTAGTTCTTCTTGGTTTTTTGCTAATCGCTTTGCTTCCTCCTCCCCTTCTTCAGAGCATGTATTTCGGCATACACAAAGCCCTTCTCTGTAACATGTGCGTGCTTGTGTGTGTCAATATGGTGGTTTAGTTTCTACCTGTCTATCTATCTGTCTGCGTACATATGCATGTATAGGTGAACAAGTGTCTACATATACATATATATATATATATATACATATGATCCCGGTTCTCGGTTCACCGACCCCCCCCCCCCAATGGTATCCCCCCCCCCCCGCCCCAAGCCGAATCTGTGTGTGACTGCGCAAGCTTTTTCCACACGAGGGCTCACACGCCAAGCAAACCCACGCAGGAAACCCAAACCACACCACACCACAGGGGGGAGTGGGGCAACCAGCCTCAGCAGACCCACTCCCGAACCACACCACACAACAATATAGGAAAAGGGACCCACAACCACACCACACCACAGGGGAAGGAACCATTGCGGGGGGGGAGGGGGGGGCCGGCCGAACCGGGATCATTATGGTCAGGTGTCTGGCGTTCCCAGCCCCCCCACCCCAATGGTATGGTCTGCTAGGGGTGGGGGGAGGGGCTGGCGTGTGCGGAAAGGGGTCGGGGCTGTTGGAGCTGCCGCTGGATGGTGGGATGGTGCGGCCAGGGCTCGCACGCAAGCCCTTTGCAAGCAAGTCGTAAACCTTTTAACTCAGCGCGTGCCCCTGTTTTGAGTAACCTTAACACCTTAACTTGTACTTCAAACCCACACCCAACCCTAAACCCCACCTAACTGCAGGAAGCGCGATACCTTGTAACCGTAAACCCAACACTCAAAAGCTTAAGCTAAACCCTTTTTTGAGCAGGGACTGCAATGCACCAAGCCCCAAAACCCCACAACCCTTTCCGGACCATTGACCTTTGGAGGGGAGGGGGGGGGGCCGCGGAGTGCGTGACCATATATGCATGTATGATTTTTGCATTTGTTTACAATCTCAGAACAAATGAACCCAGGACTGGCTAACCCAGGCTAATTCGAGATTCGACGGTGGGTCCTTCAGTGCACGGTAGCTAAGCTGATCCACGACAACGAACAGGAAGTCCCGGAAGTCAAGCCTCGTCGGATCACTTGCATCTGCCTTTCAAAAGGCTCTCCGGAGGCAAAGGCTGTCGGGTGCAGAAACTCTTGCTACATTTGTGCAGGGTCTCCTGTGGAAAGGAGCAACTGTTCCTTGCGAAGCAGAACGGCTGAGCGTTTCACCCGCCGTCAAAGTTACACAAGATCCGCCACTTAGCAACTGCCGCGACAATCCATCCCTGTCCATCACAAGTCACAAAGGCAGTTCTGAGACAGCTGCCCGTCTGTGGCGAAGTTGCTGACATGCTCAACCTGCGGATAAACCGCCGTGGGCGTTGCATAGCACACGCGGAGGATGTCGAGACTCGTAACAATGAGGGCCTTCGGGACGTACTCCACAGCATCGCCTGTGAGGAAGCCGGTTCCTGTGATTCCATGCCGCTTCTCAAAAATTAACGTTCCTTGCACCGAACGATCGGGACATGCTCAACGACGTAGTAGTCGCGTCGCTGGCGGACAGTCCGCCCTATGCTTCCGCCCACAGGTCCTCGCGTCCTGGAAAACATGACACAGGCTTTCTGCAATTGCAATGGGATCTACATGATCCGCACTGTGCGAACCAGTGCCAAGGTGACGTAGCTGTATACCACTTCGCACTCAAAAGCACACTACCACCCGACTTCCGAGCCAAGACTTCCGGACACGGCCCTTGAATTCGAATGCGCACTGGTAGGCTGGGAAGTGGATGTTACAGCTATCAGATATGAACCTTGCAGGCCACAGAAGAGATCGTCGAAGGCCAAGCTGAAAATAGCCCAGGATGCTCTCCCCCAAAATCCAGCAGCCACTGCGTCATTCTTGGGACTTCTGAGCGGTGACAAGCTTCCAAGGAGGCCGCGCTCAAGAGGATTTTGCAGTATGGTAATCAGTCAGGAAGTCCCGGATGACATGCAGTTGGCGCTTCTCGCGTGGTTCCGAATTAGGTTTTGGCTGCAGTTCCAGCCAAAGAATTCCGAGACAAAGCTTGGAGGGTTCGACAGGTCCCGAGGGTTCGACAGACTCCCATCGAGCTTTCTTGTGTCAAAAACGGCTTCTTGCCCAAGCCTGCCTCCGACATCACAGCGGCTTTTACATGTCCCTTGTTTTCAAGCTCTTCAACACAAGTTGACTTCAAGAAACCGTTAAATCTGTCAGACACGGCACGAGGCAAACGGCGAATGCTGCTATGTGTCAATGATTTGACAGCAGCAGCTTTCTATGCATGACTTGACAACTCGAATTATCCCCGGAAAAACAAAATGAAGGAAGCAGGCCATTCGTGCTCATGCCGAGACATGGCTCGGACAAAACAGGTCGTCCTGGTATATGGTGAGTATTATCCGCCGAGTATGCTAATTTCCGTTTTCCGCCTCCAAGTGGAGATGGCCAGCCACCTATCTTGGCATGCAGTGTGCTTGAGGGAGTGCAAGGATCTAAGTAAGCCCTAATTATACCGAATCGTGCACGTGACTTTCCGACCAACAACCGCAAGCACGTACTCTGCATGCCTCAAACGAAAGGATGTTTCCGGGGTGTCGTGCACGGGATTAGTGGCCGAAACCAGTGGCGCGCAGCTGAAATCAGCGAGCTCTCAGTCCAACAGAAGCTCGTCCTGTGCCAGGAGCTGGGCAAAGGTCCCACATACGACCAGGCCAGGATCTACGCCAGGTGCGATCAAGTACTCGTGTAGCTTCTTGTCCTGAAGGACAGATTTGCTTCCTAGTCCAACACGACATTATACAGCGGACATCGACATTGGCAACCAGATGCTTGCTTGTCTTAGCGTCTACACTTCTCGGAACCACCGCGGCACCGCGCTTCTTGTTGCTCACTACCCATCTGGGAGGCGGCAGTCCAGTCCGCATGGATAGCGTCCAGGCCTTGGACAGCAGGAGTTGACTCCGGAGCTTCACACATCTTCTTTCCAGCAAGTCTTGTGAAGCTTCCTGCTACGGGTGCCCAATTCCGAAGTCCAGCCTTAAGCTCCATTGAATTGGGTCTGCGCACGCTGCAGTATTTATCATGCTCATACTGTGAAGAGCTGTGCAGGCTTACTGCTGTGCGACTTCTCGGTCTTCGAATTGCTCGGAATGTAGTCATCTTGCAACAATGCCGACTTCTCTGGGCTTTCGGCGTGATCAGTCTTGTGGTTGCCCTCCTCGGTTGGCAGAACGATGTGAACTTTGCCACTCGGATGTCCAAAAACATGAGCCGGGCTTCCAATCGCATCTTCGCATTGTACGTGAATGGGGACCGGGACACGGTGGCCCACTGGTAGAGCATCTCGCCTACAAGCCGTTTGCATGAGCAATGTCTGCCGACTGGAGACCGGGTAGGTCCGTTAAACGCAATATGCAGATGCTAACCATGCCGTGAGCAGACTCTCGGGACGAGCTCCCCCTCCCCCCTCCGGGGCCTTCCACGCTAATGGCTTGACAGCCGGAAAGCTGCTGCTTGCCGTAGATGGCATAGCTGCTGCGCTGGCTTTCCATGGGCCGGTGCTTCTCTAAGGTCTGCATAGCCCCCAAAAGCTCACCGTTGCAGTCACGGATGAAGCTCAACTTCCTGGGCAACGGGTAGCGCGGAAAATGGGGCATCCATCGAGAGAGTCCGGAAGAGCCGAGCAGCCCGAACGAGCGGTGCGGGCAGAGCTCCAGCTTCAGGAGTAAGGCACCCCCAGGCCCGTCGCGCACCGCAATCCTGAGAAGTGAAGCGTCTCGAAGCTCCGACTGTACCGAGATGCAAAAGGAACTGTGACCACAAACCCACGAGCTCAGCCCGGCATTTTGTAACATGAGCTCCAAGTCTCGTTTCCGGCGCGCCCACACCTTCATCGCGGTTGATCTGGCTCAAGCAACAGCTCCAGGGGGTTACCCAATACTTCGACGAAGACTTGCTGAGGCAAGGTGGCATGCCTCGGTTCTGCCAAAAACCGAGAGCTTCAAGGTGCCTCAACCCAACACCTCCAGGTCCACTGCATGGATCCATCTTCCTGCACTTACCTTTGCCGGGTTGCATGGAAGGAAGGGCCCCCCTGGCCGGGGCGGGTGCACCTTCAGGAACCTGAGCTCGAGCAGAGTAAGGAGGACCACAGGAGAAGCGGGTTCCGAGTTTGAGAAAGCCGGACTTGGACTAGACCAGTCCCGTGTTCGAGAGAACCGAAAGCAACGATAGAATCTGCAGCTAGCCGCTCATCAGGGTTTGGGAGCTTCCCTTCGCAACAGCCCATTGGCTAATCCTCCGGGATCTGTGTGCCACACATCACATGCGAGCCCGGAACTGCGGAGGGCGCTGAAAGGTGCAGCATGCTTGCTTTCATGGCCATCGAGAGGGCCTGAGGCGCAGCAAGAAGTCCAGGCCTGATCGAAGCGCCTCGGCAGAGGGGTCCTGCATGCAGGATCAAAATACGGGAGGCACTCAGTCTCAAATGCTTGCACTCGAATGCCTTCGGGTCAGTAGACTTGAGAGCTGAGAGAGCAAAGCGGATGAAAACTATGGGGAGGAAAAAGATTGCAACCGCGTGCAGATGCTGGAAGGCGAATGTGAATGATGAGCGCTCCTTGTAAGTTTGCTGTGTTGCGAACTGTTTCATAAGCTCATTGCTCCCACTGAACGACGCATGGCAAAGCTCGGACCTCAACTCAGGACGTAGCAACAACTCTGAAACGTTTGTTTACCTCCTGAAAAACTAAAAAATCTTCGATGATTGCTCGTTTCAACAACGAGTCGGAGAAGAAGCCTGCGGTGAATATGAAACAGCCTAAGGTGTGGCTGTTGTCTTCAGTCGTTGAGATGCACGATTCGGTGATGTTGCCGAATGCTAGATGATACAAGTAGCAGCTCAGCTGTCTGTTGTACTGACCGTCAGCCACTGACCCCCCAAGTCTTTAACCAACAACGCCTGCAAGCTCGAAAGGACCTAGCTTCCTAATCAGGTGATTTTGCGCAGGCATGATTGCAGCAGCACCAATCACACCCACTCGTGTTTCAATGCAATTTGCATCCGAAACTGCCATTCGCGAGGCTCCTCCAACAAGCTACACTTCAGCAAAACCTCAGCCACTGGTACATTGCCATGACAGAGCTTTGGACACCACTGAGGTCACTGTGTCAAGGGTTGCGTGTCGCATTTGGCGACTCAATGCCAGCTTGGAGGCTTAGAGTCAGAGGCCGGGGCAATGTCACCTGTGTGGAGCACCTCGGACCGGTCCAGTGGCCCGGTGGCGGCATCCTGCCGAGGCCATAACTCCCTGAGTTTTGCGCAACGGAGTGAAAAAGGGCCTCTTCACCGGCATCACCCAAGGTCTTGGAACCTGCAGGCAAGTCCCAGAGTGCCGTCGCCAGTGAAAACCCGACCCGAGCCTTGTGAACGCGAAGCCGACATAGCAGGCTAGTGATAGTGCCGAGACGGCCTTTGCCCACAAGCAGACTCGAGCCGCTCTCAAAACTGCATGCTCTAATTATTCGGCTGGCTCTAGGGCGCAAGCTCTGTCCTCAGGGGCCAAATCAACACATCGACGTCGACAAAAGCCTGTCGACAGCGTGAACCACAGGGGCGCACACAGAAGCACCGGTTGTTCAGCAACCAGCTGACCAAATGGGCATTATCAGCTGTCACTGCTGTTCTGATACTGATAGGGGTTAGCCGACCCGCACCAAGATGGTAGAAATCACGGCTCGAACAAAGCAGCCCGCACCCACCCACCAAGCGGTGATGTTTCACACGGACAGGCTTTGACACCAGGAGGGCATGAACTCTGGACTTAACTAGTCATCTGCTGCGACATCTGGTAGAAAGGCCCGACCTCAACCTCTCATGCATGTCCATGGGCTCTGCGGCTTACATGCAGATGTGTTTGGGGGGGAGGGTGGCAAACTAGGGGACTGGATTTCGAAGCTTCTTCCTCAACTGTCTGTTCGTGTCGGTGAAAGTGTCTATAGCTTCAAGGCCATCGAAGTTGCTCCTTCATGCGCTATACCCCTGCTGGGCGATGGCAGCCACGGGTCCTTGGCGAAGCTGTTGCTGGCAACTTCCACATGTCTCAGCATAGGCACTGCATGCTGGCAGGGTGTTAGCAGGGTCGGCATTGACCTTTCCGAGCACAGGCGTGCATGCGTCATCTGGGGCGTCATCTGGTCCAGCAGCTGCCTTCGCAACCCACCACGCCAGTTGCAGAATCGAACGAATCTGGCGAAGTTGCAACAGCTCTGTACAAGGGTGCTTGTCTCCCCCGTCTTTACAGAGGGATGCCGGGAAGCGCCTGTTGCAGTCGCCACATTTTGAATCGTGTGCGGCTGACGGCCCCTTGGCAGTCAGTTACCTGTACAAGAGCTGTAGATAGCTGTAGCAGTGTAGCAACTGTCTATACTGCAGTTTCACACAGGCGGCAAGAACCAAGGCGATGACAAGAGCTGGATGAAGGCAGCTAGCGATAACGTCACACAAATCGGAGCAAACAAATACTGAAGGAAGATGGCTGTGGCCATGCCTTCCTTGCTTTGGCCTCCGTTTTGGGCCATTACAGCTACGTTGTTGGCTGTAGGGGTGCACGACACCACCAGAGCTACAAGCCAAAGGGAGTAGTCCTTGTTCGGGATGAGGCGGATTAAGCCATACACGATAAGAACCATTAAGCCTGGCATGAGGATCAGCTTGCTGAATGCAATCCCCAAGCCCACACGGCAAGGGAGGGCATGGAAGTCTGCACCCTTGGCAAGAGAGCTGCCGAGGATCAGAAGGTTCACAGGCACTGCTGCGTCTCCAAGCTTGTACAACCCTGCATAGAACCACTGGAGTGGGGCATCGTTATCCTGGTCACGAAGATCCACCAGCCATGCGCGAACAGGAGTGAAGCCGACTAGCAAGCCAAGTAAGGCACCCAGAACGGGTGGAGTCAAAGCCTGCCGGAGGATGCTTCGAAGCTGTTGAAGAACCCGCAGGCAGAACTTGTGCTCACTTGTCTGGGCGAGTGAGGCCTCTGAACTTGGTAACGATTCTACTTCCGAGATTTCAGGGTCGTCATCCACGGCCTCCTTCTGCTGCCCCGCAGTGTCTGCCAGGAGCCTGAACACGCAGCGGCCGCCGATATCAACCCGTATGTTTTGTGGGTGCCGGAACAACTTCTGACAGACAAGCACACACAAAGTTACCCGCACGATGGAGCTGAAACATGATGAAACTAAAACCTTGTCAAGTCACCAAGATCCAATGCTCCATTGCAGAACTGGGTACAGCATCAGGTAGACCGGCAAGTGCTGCAGCGGATCGAGCTGTTTGGACCTACCGTACTGTAGATTATTGGAAAAAAGCTTCCCAGCAACAGGTGTAGGAGAAAACGGTCGTAGTCACAAAGCTGAGACTAATCTGGAGAGGAAGGGCGGAGCTAGGGAGGCAGCAGACTGTGAAATGACCGTCAGCAGCACAATGGGGAGGCCGGTGGAGTTGCCAAATGCGATAGCACAGATCGTGCCCTTGCTGAAGCTTGAAGGTGCAGCTGTCAAGACGGCCGTCAGCTTCCCCAGAAACACCCCAACGCCCACAACGACGAATGGCAGGAGAATGAGCACCCAGCTGTTGCAAAGGATGTCGAAGAAGGGACTGCAGCGTGTACACTGTGCTAGATGCGCATTGCACTGGTCGCAGTAAATTATCCGCGTGAAAAGCAACGCCGGGATCAAGATGTTCATCGAGATCGCCTAAGTTTCTGGTCTGCATCATCGGCCCTGCCATAGGTATCGGCATGGAGCCATCACGAGCTGTTGAAAAAAACTACAATTTCTGCCCAGTATCTGCCATCGACTTTTGTGCCTGTGGCGAGATGATACCGAGATGTGCACCGAGAAATCCAGCGGCCATTGCCGACACCGACACCCCTATCGCCCGGAGGGCTGCAATGAGTACGGCGACGAAACCAGCCATGGCAGCAAATCCCCGGCAATGATCTCGAGGTGACACGGCTGAGCCGTCATTGCCAGTGTTCATGGGCCCAGCGCTGGGGATTCGCCGCGCTGTTGTGATCTTCAGGATCCCCTGTCCCCGAACCCCACGTGCTTCCCTATCACTCTGCTCAGCACAACGTCCTGAAGGCTACGAAGGAATTTCTCCAAACCTGCAGTGTTACAGTACCCTTCAGCGAAACAGCAAGAATCAAGCTCAATTCCGAAGTGGCCGCAGGAGGCCATAAGCTCGAGTGCCCACTTGCACCGTCGAAGCTTAGAAGACTCTAGACTCTACACAAGCAGCTTACTAGCGTGCCCCTGCAAATGCACACTGAATGAGCAGGTCAGCCAAGCACGTATGTAAAACGACCTCTGCTCGGATCAAAGAAGAACAAAGGAGAATATGTTAGCACGAAAACGTGCAGACTGGAGCCGGTCTCTTAACATTGACCACTCGATCTCTTGCCATAGCTTCCCACTTTTTCTTGACTCGCATTGCTCCTCCCACTCTAGTCTCTAAAATTGAAAAGAGTTAGCGATGGCTCAGCCAGGAGTCCCGCTGCAAGGAGTCCCGAGCGCTCCCGGGCTTCAACCGGCTTCGACCCCTATAGGTTCTTCGAGCAAAGGGCCTCCAGCAGCTGTACATACACCGCGGCACTCGCGGTAATGTCTCCGATGGACCGGACAGTCGTGTGCCCCAGGCTGTTGACGTCAAACCTCCCCGATGTAAAGAGTTTGAGTTTCAAATGTATGGCACTGACTCGAGGGGAACATCCTGCCTGTGAGCGCCAACGACGCCTCCAATGCGACAGGGGGTGAAACGATTGGAAAATGACGCACTTGGCTGGCGTTGGCGTACTAACGGTGTCCCAGAGCGTCCTGGATGCAAAGGCCATCCAGGAGATCGAAACCACCGACTTTCACAAGGCGATCGCCCCGCGCATCGAATTCCTCTGCGGCGCACCTGTGACGCCTGCAATCGGCCAAGCTGCCAGTCACAGGAAGTTCAGGGATGAGCACCACCGACAAGCACTAAGGGCAAGGCCCGGGAAGCTTGGCAAGCTCCCATCAGGGATCAGGCCTCCTGGTATCACAGAAGGAAACCACAAGACAAATCTACCCTGCAATGCGAGCAAATCTCTGTGCGCAAAAGACGTGCAAAGCACCAAGGAGCAGACGATGGCCAGAGTTCCAGCCTTCCGAAGATGACGAAGTTCAACACTCTTTCCCCCTGTCGCTCAAGCCGAAGGCTCCAACCTCTAATTCACCCGCCGTCGGCTGTTTTCCGTCGTTGGCGTCCGACTTCCACAGCCTCCGAATAGGAAATCTGAAGCACTGGGCATGCCAAGCGCAGTGCTACCACCTGCTACCACCTATATTCGCTCGTTCCCACTCCGCAGAATCACCGACGTGCCCCTGACCATTCTCGAACCCTGTAATGTTGATCGGCGATGCAGTCAGTCTTCTTCCCAAATTGAGAATGCTCAGATCCTCGCGGCACAGGCACAAGCACCTGCAACGTCCATCGGGTACAGACTGTGCATGTACCAAGCCTTACGGTCCCCGCTATCGTTGTTCTACTTCCGAAGCTGTAGTCGATGCACAACTTGTGGAACGCTACGAGAAGCTTTGTGATAGCATGCCAAGGCAGCCACCATCTCATTGACTTGTGCCACATTGTTCCTGTTCAGGTTTCGATTTGATAGTACAGGTATTGTCTCAAAGGCGGGCGGCGCTTTCCCGGCATCTGCAGGGCTCGCTACTTTCACAGGGAGTGGGCAGCCAAGGCCTGTTGGCACACTTTGTAGTCTCCATGTCCTCCGAGGTCGTCCAGTTGCCGTCCACTATGAACTTGAACTCGTACCTAGGCCGGGCTCCGAAGAGAGCGAGACGAGAAGCACCGGCTGCCACGGTCTCGTCAAGGTGGCCAAGGCTTCGGCTCACCGGCAGGAAGGAGAAGCCTCAAGGATGTCGAGGGATGAGAAAAAGCGGATTCCGAAGGGTGCAATGGGACCACGGCATGATCCGGAAACCAACTCCAGGACACGGCCTCAGTATGCGGGCTGTTTAGACGTGAGTGGAGAATCGGTCGTGACATGGCATTGAGTGAAACCGTGTCAAGGCAAAAACGGATGTGGGCTCGGGGGAAGCTCGATGTATTTCAGGCAATCGCACAATTGGCCAGCTGATTTGGGGCAGGTGCTCCAACGCGTAGTCGCGCTTCCAGCCATCCCAGGAACCCCTCACGCGCACGTCGCGCCTGGGATAGAGCAGAGTTTACAAGCTGCAGGCACGGCAACAAAGCAGGTAACAAGAAGATGCGCGGCTGCACGTGCTGACGGAATTTGAGCTCCTCTCGCGCAGCTGGTGTTCCACTGGAGAGGCAGAGGCCCAGCCTGAGAGTCAAAGTTACAGCCGCAGCTGATTTTTTCCCGGTGGTGGCCAGGACAGCAAGCGTTGTGTATCCGAATTTTCCAAGCTTTTCAAAAAGCCAAACCAGTGGTTGCCCAACGGAGGAGCCTCGTCTACACTGTGTGAAATGAGCAACGCCAGAGCCAGAGTCTCGGCTAGTACGACGGATTTCTCGTGGCCCCAGCCCGAGGGATGCCGGCGTTCAGCTTCCTCGCGGCCACCTCAGCAAAGGTGGTGCAATTGGCAATGCATCGCCGAATTCGGCTGTTCTCGAAACGCATCTGCGCATGAAATCTGAACATATGAATACCAGGAATACCGATGAGCTTAAGGAGCCATGGCATGCCTTGGCTAGACAAAAACGGGATCAAAACACCGGCCAAAGCTCCTCGAGCTCCTGGCCATGGCCAGTCTATCCTGATCCGTGGGCTCGGCTGCCGCCGCTGGCCTCAGCAGCACCGAACGTAGAAGGAAGGGGGTCCGGGTACTTGCATGTTTTTTAATGTCTGCGTTGTAAAGTGTAAACCTATCAACATGTGGAGTGCTGGCCACCCACGGTGTCTGCAACTGCAGCTTTGATGGACCGTGTTTGCTGAACAGATCAGCAACTCTCGGGCCACCGCAACGCCTTGCTGTCAGTGCTGCCACCCTGTGTCCCGTTTTCGTGCCCGTTCCCGTTGGCCTCATCCGAGAGCCCATGTGTTTTTCGCAGCAGACGGGCCCTCTTGGGTCGAACCTGCGGCTGTGGAGACGGCGGCCGGTACTCGATCGCTGGCCCAGTCGGCGGGGGACTGAGACAAAAACGGCAGAGAATTGTAGCAGCTTGGCGTGACAACCACAAGGACCGGGCGGAGTTGGGAAGCCAGGGGCTGCCTTGCACAGGGTCATGACGGAACTGCCGTCATCCACGGACCACCCAGTTCGAGGGTCCGCACTCCATTAATCGTCACAGCCGTGGTGGTGGTGGTCGTCGTCGTGTAGGTCACCGCCTTCACATCCGGTTGCCACGCTTGCAATCATGACACGAAATGCATATCGTACCACGAAGCCGACCCAACATGAGATCTGCACGTTGTGCAACTTTGAAGATCAGGGCTCTTACATGGCCAGCGGCTGCTGCATGACCAGCCAAGAGAGCTGAAACCTGTTCGGCAGTGCGAAGGAATTCGTCGGTCAATTCCTCAGCTTTCAAAGGCCGCCCCGCCTCCACATTCGGCTGAGTGGCCACGGCCACGGGTCCGGGTGCGGCTCCCGACGCGCCCGAGGGCGACGCCGGCCCAGGCGTCGGCGTCGGGGCCACCTGGGCAACCTGACCTGGCACTCGTCACATGCAGTTTCCAACTCGCGTGTTTCACCTGGAAGTTGGTTAGCCGTGAATCCGACTTCTGACGTTGTCTCTCGATATGTGGCTGGGCCCATCGTACTCTCAGGACCGTCAGTGCTCTGTGTGGTGAAAGACGCTTTACACCGTCAAGCTTCAGAGTGCTCCTCACGGCACACAACACTCCTTGCAAGGCCTGACGAGCTGCCACAACTTCGTGCATGCGATCTTTTCCTCTGCAGGCATCCACACTTCGCCGCGCGCCCGTCCGCGATACTTGACGAGGTCGTCCTGGATGTCCAGAATTCGACTGTCGTAGTGCCTGACACCCGCTGGCTGAGGCCAACTGCGGCCAGGGACTCCAGGTATAGGTAAGTAGGGAGGGATGTAAACCGCTTCTGTCCAAGTCGCAGGTGATGAGACGGCTGCCATGCCTCCGAGATGTCACCGCCTAAGAGCAAGGGGCAACGGTGCAGTTTCAGGTGCCATAGAGTCAGACTCCGAAAGCGGACCTTGTGACTTGTTTGCCGAGGCACTTCGACTTTGCTCGGCGGAAACCAGGCCTTTGACAATGGTTTCAGACTATGTGATCTGATTTGATCTGATATGACATGATAGGATATGATATGATATACTAATATACATATATAGTTATATATACACACACATTCCTACATATACATATACATATACATATACACATACACATACACATACATATACATATACATACACATATACATATACATATACACATACACATACATATACATATACATATAGGGTGGTGGGATTTTCACGGATCCATGTTCAGCATAGGCGATGGGATTTTTCATGAAGATGCAGGAGCAATATCGGGAATAGACACATTTTTCAGACAGGTCCGAGAACATCGGGCATAAACGACGGCACATTCGAAAACCCTAAACCCTTAAACCCTAATCCCTAAACGCTTTCCTTTGCCTTCAGCAGGGGTATAAATATCAGTGACACAGGAACGAAGAGAGATGTCGCTATGCATTTTAACACGCTGTGTGAATGCACATACGTTCGTAGTCCCCTCCCCCCCCGCCCCCTACCGCTCCCGAACCCTTTTTTGCAACTGGACTCTCTGGTCTGCCTTCAGCAGGGGTAAATATCATCCAGTGACACGGGAACGGAGAGAGATATCGCTTTGCATGTTAACACGCCATGCAAATGCACATACATTCGTAGTCCCCTCCCCCCTCCTACCGTTCCCGACCTTTTGCGTAGGTGTTCCTGAAAATTGCGGGATAGTATCTGAAAATTGCCCCCGCATCTGTTTGACAAATCTCTCTACTCCCGACCCATGGTTGCCAAGTGTTCCCAGATTCTGCCCGAAAAGGTTAGCACTCTATACATCTACATTTGCGTGTTCATATACATGTAGATGTACATGTACGTGTACATGTAAAGGCACGTGTACATGCACATATGCATATGCATATAATTATACAACCATAAATAAACATATACGTGTACATATACATATACAGCTTCAAATGCATGTACATATGCATACATACATACATACATACATAAATAAATATATATATATATATACACGTACATGTACTTGTGCATATGCGTATACCCATACCTACACAGAAACATATGCATACACATATACACATAATACGTATACATATACGTACACATATACATATACACATACATGTACATGTACATACACATATTATACATGTATATGTACATCACCACATACCTGTACATGTGCATGTACATGTACATGTTTAGCACTGGCGTTCGCCAGCCGAGGTTTGGGACATACATACATACGTACATAGACACATACGTACATACATACATACATCACGTCCAAACAAAGGTCTCAAGGCGCCGCAGGTGGTCCCTGGACTTCAGATTCTGATAGACTCTCTTGGAAACAGTTTGGTCTATGCCGTCCGAATCACTCCCAAGAGGGAGGGCTACGTATCGGCCCAGACGGCCACAAACCGGCGCGCCGCAAACGGCACAGCGCTGCCTCGTCACCTCGCAGCAGGCGGTCTCGGTCAGCTTCCAAGAAAGTGTTGCTTCCCTTAGCTTTGTGGGCCTGAAAATCTGTTGAAGTCTATGTCTAAGTGAGTCTGCTCCTGCCGGCTCTCGATCTCAGCCCCGCCGCCCCGCGTGTACTGAGGCTACTGCTTGCTTTGATGTGCGAAGCTCGGAAAGCTGCGGGGGACCGCCCTGTCGACCTTGGAGAGAGGGAACCGTGGACAACAGGGTGTCAAGTCTTGGGGCAGCATCCGTGGTTCTTAGGTGATTTCAACAAATACAGCGGGAACATGTGCTGATGGAGCCTCTACACAAAGAGTGAGCAACCTCGAGCCCCAGCCTCAGGAACGATCAGAAGCTCTGAATCCACTTGCGCTGGGATTCGGGCTCCGAAGCTCGACACGCTCTGGCCTAGGCGGGCCGCACGACGACGAGTATTCCACGTTACTCGTATCCAATCCGTGAAGGTCATCCCGTCACATGGTCCTAGGTGCAGTCCATCCCGCACGCGTCCAAATTGGCGCGAAGGAAAATTAGCATGCGCAAAGCTGTGTGTCAGCAGTTTCGCCGCTTTCCAAAAGAATGCGCGCAGATGCGCTCAGCTTTCTCCCTCCACATTATCAGAACCGGTCCAAAGAAGATGTCTTCATACAATTCAGCTGTCGAGAGGATCATAACAAGACAAAGTTTGGGGTACATCGGCCAGGCTCTCTCCAAAATGGGTCCTCGAATTCTTGTCGCAGCTTTGTCCTCCTCCAGCTTTTTCGGCTCAATAACTGTGAAAGCCTCCCTCGCAAATCAATACTGCGGCTGCTGACAAACAACCGGAACACAGAGTCATGCATGTCCGCGGCCGGATCTGCCAATCTGCACATCCATGTATCTGAAGCCAGAGTGCTTTTACTATTCTCACTGTCGCTAACTCCTCAGGGTAGTACTCTGCTCTTCATGTTCTATTCTTGCCATGCTGTTGCTACGATGGGACTCAATACTTCCCCAAACCAATGTCATCAACACTACATGGAGTCTGACGTTCAGAGTCATGGGGAAATTACATTGCTGGCACCGATAAGGTGCTCCAGCATGCCGGCGCAATATGGCGGTCGCATGATATGCTCAGTATCTGCTGCAGATCTTGCTGAGCCGCGGGCCTGAAGACAGCGCTTGCGACGAAAGGAGCTCCAGAAAGTCGCCTGCATGAAGTCCGAGCTTTTCTTACTGCCCAACTACTCACTGACTGACTGCCTGCCAAGCTGTGTTGCTGGCTTTCTTGTTTGCTTGGCTAAGTGCCCTGCATTCGCTGGCGTCCACTAGCTTTTGCAGACAAAGACAGAGCAACACACACTCTCTCTCTCACAGGCCCTCTTTCTTACTTTACTTTCGCGACAATTCGGCTGCGCTTGCTCAGTCTCTAGCTCCCTCGCTCGCTCACTCTCGCTCGTCCTCTTCTCTTTAGAATGTATAAGTACGCCACGAATCAGGCTCCGCGTAGGAAAGCACACTATTGCCTAGCAGATGCTACTGGCTCACACATGCAAACACATTACCAAGGCCGAAAGAATCAAGTCTAATCAGCGCATCTTACAGGTGGGCAGTCGTGTTCCGAATCCTCCGAAGGAGATAGACATCGCAAGCAGAGTGGATAGGGACCGCCTAAGACTGGAAGGCTATCTAGGACGGAGACTTCAGCGACTGCATCTCTCCCCCGAAACTCCACATCACGCGTGTCTTCGGAGAAGTAGGCTTGAAAAATTGCATGCAGCGGCCACAGGAGTTGTACGTGAAAGGGTGTCGCTGGTGCGAGTCTGTTTATCGGGCGGCAGGTTAAGGGAGAAAATCGTACGTAGTGGTGTACAAGCATGCGATAACGGTACCTGTCTCTCTGAGTTATGCCCTCCGGGCTCTGAGGCCCGCCCGTGTGTTGCTGACTTTGTAGAGGCGAATGAAAGCGAAGGATGTTGAATCGAGTAAATTCCCCTGAGCCATTTCAGCATGAGTTTTCAATCTGATTTTCGTCTTGTGGCGGTTCGAGTAAATTTGACCAAGTACATGACCGTTTCCCCGGGCCATTCAAACAGAAGTGGAAACACCGACTGCATGAATAGAATGGTTTGGGCGGAAACTGTGGGATATTTCGCAGTGGTCTTTGTGTCTACACTTCATTCCCCGGTCGGCTTACTCTCTTGGTTGCTTGCTGGGCGTTTGGGGATGACCTTCCCCCTGCCCTGCGTGCGAGCGCTGGGCCACCTGTCAGAGTCCGGGTCGGCGTAGAGTCCGGGGTGGTGTGAGACAGGAAAGCCCCGAGACCAGCATGTCAGCCCCCGTTACGTCGTATTATACAAGACAGCTAGGCTCTCCTACAAGTCCCGGCTGCATGCTGGTTTGGGCTCGGCTGAGCAGTGTTTAGTATAGCCCCAGGCATTGCCAGAGGTCTGCTCTCAGAGGCTCCGGGCCGATCACGGGTGCACGCACCCCGGCCCGAAGGCCAACCCCCCCACGGCTCGCAACTGTCCAATGTCCTCGCGGCCCCTCTCGGGGTGGGTTGACTGGCACGTTCCCTTGAGTGACCCTGTGTACCCCGTCCCCGCAACCGAACCTGCCAACGACCATTACCGTCAGAACCCAAACAGGTGTCACTCGAGTCATGACTTCTCTCTCTCCCTCTCTCTCTGCTCTCCTGGGCTTGGGGATCTGTCAAAGTCCCCGGGCAGATTAGCCCACCCAATTCATTAACTAAGCCTTGGGGAGTGAGAAACGAGCATATTGCACCATTGTGACTTAAGTCATATAGTGTACGATGGCAGTTCCAGGTGCTCGTATGCTCTCATTGACATATTCTTTCTTTCTTTCCCCAGGCTTGAGGGCGAGCCCCCACGGGAGCTGCCCGTTCTGGTCAATGTTCTTGCTTGCTTGCTCTCTTCCTCTCTTTTCTCTCTCTCTCTCTCTCTCTCTCTTCGGCTTCGGCTTCCGGGGCAAGGTCTGCGAGCAGACCCGGGCCTAGGCCCCCCCCTTCCTGCTTCGGCGGTGGAAGGAGGCTTTGGGGTTCTGTGGTGGGAGGTTTTCCCCCGTCGGGCAGAAAAACAGGTGGCGTGCGTCCGGTGCTGATCCCCCCTACAACCCTGTACTTTAGCCCGCGTCCCGGCCTCATCGGCGCCCTCTAAGGCAAGATCCTTAGACCCTGCACCGTACGCATCACCCCTCGTAAGCTGTCGTGGTTGAAGCAGCCCTCTTTCTTGCAGTACAGAACCAAACGGCTGAGTACCAGGCCAAGTAAGATACAGGACGACGTCACAAGCAAAAAGTTTGTGTAGGCTCGCTTCCCCCGAGCTCGGTTGCTCAGCGAGGGTTCGCCAGCATGTATGGTACAGAGTATTTTCAAGCAGTGGCTGGTCCCCCCGCGCGTGTTCGTATGAAAACATGGCCGGTCGAATTATGTCTTCTAGTTTGGAAACAGTCGGCGAAAGCGCTGAATTATTGTGGCGGTTGGTAATATGCGTCGCAGGCTGGCGACCCTTGCAGATGAATTGGGCTTTCGGTGGCTACTTCGGGCTTCTGCAGGATTAGAGGCTCTCTCTCTTTCTTTGCTTAGGGGTCCCGAGAGACCCTCAGGCTTTCAGCCCGCCCAACCCCCCCACTGTGTTAGTGAGTGGTTGGCATTGGGGCCATTCCAGATTACGGCAGGGAACTACAGAATATGCTCCAGGTTGTCGTGCAGCAATCCCCACTTAGAACACTAAACCCCCCGCGTCCCGGCCTCATCACCGCGCCCCTATGGCTAGCCGTGCCCCAGTACCTAAGTGTTCCTAAGCAGGTTTCGCTGCACTGTGGTTGGAGCTGTCACAGAAGGAAAAGGAAAAAGCCGGTGAGTTTCTCCCCCTTGTCAGGTTTTCCAGGAACCAGCCCCCGACAAACAAGACACGCTAGCCACAGTACTCGACAAAGGGAGTTTTGTTGAATTAAAATCCCCTCCTGCAGCGGAGCAGGCGGGCCGAATTAACGGCAATAGGGCGGAACTGTCTTCGTCTTTCGACGGCGGTGCATGAATTGTGAAAGGCGGAAAGAGGCCGTCGTAGAGCGACGGGTGCGATTGAAAGCAAGAAGCAAGGCAGTATATGTCACATATGGTACAGAAAAGCGTGCATCCCCCCGGCCAGGGCAAGGGCAACTAGTTGAGTCCCCCAATAAGCAGTTACAGTGTGAGGACAGTACTGGTCACGGTGGAAAGGGGAGGGCAGCAAGCAAGAAGACCACCTACAAACACCAAACAAGAAGCCCTCCACAATCCCCCGCAACGGCCGTCTCAGAAAAACTTTTGCTCCGCTCACTCTGCGTCAGTTCCTCATCGTGCGCTCACTCCGCTTCAGTGCTGGACCTTGCCGCGTTCCCCTCTCTTCGTTGCGCCATGTACTCTTGTACTTCTCTGACTTGCCAGCCTATGCTCGGCACAAGGTTGACTGGTCTCCCCCGAGTGCCTCGTTGTTCTCCAGCGTGTAGGTTTGGCATGTCGGTGGTTTGGCGCCGTGTTTTGCTTTGTGGCTCCCCCGCCGGCACTCTTGGTCGCCTGGCTTCGGGTCCTCCGTCTGGCTCGGCGGGCTTCCTGGTGCCTGCTGTGCGCCTTGTCGTCGGCTCCCCCTGTGGTTCTGCGGGCTTCACCTGGTTGACTTCACGGTCTGAGGGTCGTCCTTCTGCACCCCATGGCCAGTTTGGGTCAGTGTCGTCGCATCCCCCCAGGGCTGCACTGTGGGTGTCGTCATTTGGTCGCCGTGTTGGCGATCCCCCTTCCTCTTCTGGTTGGCTGTCTTCACCTCCCCAATCTGGCGGTGTGCTTGAGGAACTTTCCCCCCTTCTCGCACTGGTCGGGTCTGCTCCCCGTGAGCTGCTGGCTGCCTCCGTCTGCTTGGTTGTGGGAGGCATGTCCTTCTCGTCGGGCACACTGGGCTGGTCCTTCTTCTTGGCTTTGCGTTGTGCTGCTTGCCGTTGTCGAAGTTTGCGGCGTATCCCCCACGCCTTTTGTAACATGGTAGGAACTTGTTCCGGGAATCTCATTGCATACACCCGGTTCTCCGCGGCTATCTTCGGGAGCCATTTATCGACGATGCGTACTAGGCGGTCTGCTTGCTCTCCTAGCCTGAACCTGTGCGACAGTCTGGCCATATATCGCTCATACTCCCCCACAGCGCTGGGCTCCAAGGCATCCCCCGATGGCTCGAGGACATAGTTCCCCCCTTCGTCGGTCCGGACTTGTTGTGTGGTCCAACGGTCTAGCTCGTCTGGGTCGAACAGTAAGTGGAGCCCCCCCTGCGTGCGGAAAGCGGTCTTGGCACTTAGCGGGAGGGGCTCTTGTCCTCGTTCAGCGGCTGGCGGTGGCATCGGAGGCTCATACGCAGCATCCCCCAGTCGTATGTTCATACGCTGCACCATGCCGTGCAAGCGGCATTGACGGTCCTCCCGGTTGTGTGTCTTCCTGAAACCAGGTTGGCAAATTCCGCCACCATACCGGCACAGCCGGCATTCTCGGCCATCCCACACCATGGTACTTTGCTATCTCCCCCTTCCGGAAAAATCACGTTCGTGACGGTGATAATCTCCCCCGTCCAGTCAGGGAGTTCTGTGTGATCACCGTGGTCACGCAGGTCGCAAGGTCGAAGGAGAAGGTCTGCGTCCCCCTCTGCTTAAAGGCGATGGGAAGGAGGCTCTTGCAGTGTTTAGGTCCCCCTCAAGGAGATAGCAGTTCGACCGTGCCGTTCACGGTTATTGCAGCGACGTGGCAACCCCCTGGCAGGGCCTCTTGATGCGAAACGCAACGGGCGGAAGACTCAAGCACCGCTGGAGGAAGACGACGGAAGCTCCCACGGGGCACAGCCCGAGTTAACTCCGCGTCTCCCCCCCCCGATGCGAGAAGGCGGCACAGGCCCTCCCACAAAGGTGCAGTACTTGAGCCAAAATAGGCTCTCTCTCTCTCTCTCTCTCTCTCTCTCTCTCTCCCGGGCATAGGGGCGGATCAACGCCCCCGGGCATCATGCCCACCCGTCGTGTTGACGGACACGGGGGGTGAAATGAGAACGGCGAACATTGTCGGGCTATAGCCATAAAGTATACGATGTCGAAGACAATGTGAGCCTCTAATCTCTCTCTCTCTCTCTCTCTCTCTCTGTCACTTCTCTCGTTGCACAGTTCCTCACAGCATGGTCGCACCTGCATATCGAGCAGTGGCAAATCGACACCGAAACAGGGTCGCCAGCTGCACGGGCCACAACAGCCTAGAGTCATCAGCACGTCTTCCACTGATGCCGAGGTACTGTAGCGGGCTTTAACTAGATAACTGCACATCCACATGAAGCTTTGTTGGCTGCAGGTCATGTCACGAGATGCAGGGCTGTCCACGATCCGCACAACTGCGACATTTGCTCCTACGATGTTCGCACTGACCACGATTGCAAGGCTTGCAGCAGTAGTGCTGACAATAATCGTTAGACCGTAGTAGAAACCATGATGAAAGTCATCGCGGTTCGAAGAATGGCAAAAATCCCATCATGCAGCACCGGTGAGACTGCTAGTCCTGTTAGTCTCTGAGGCATCAGCTCCGCAGAAGCAGGGAAACTCGCGGATTGTAGAGGAGACGTTGGCAGCCGAGCCGCCCTGCATTGCATGGATCAGATGTAAGATGATATTAAGCTTGTCATGCATGCATGTCTGCATGGATTTATGTATGCAAATGCATTCATACCTGCCTACCTCCCTCCGCGCACCTACCTGCCTACGTACCTACGGACCGACCGACGGAACCATGCCATACCAAATCAGGCCGTGAAGCTGCAAGCTGCAAGCACATGCAAGTACATACAAGTACTTCTTGGGGTACAGGGCGCAACGTGCAGGCTTGTGTTTCGAATGTTTCAATTAAGTTTAAGTAAGAATCAAAGGTTTTGGGTGACCCAGTGCCTCGGCAGGCAGGTCAGCAACATCCTGGCAGTAGCCAGAAAATAACTGCGCAAGTTAATCACTCAAAAGCTATTTATAAATTCAGAAAGCGAGATCTAAAAAAAGGCAGCCTCAACGCACACTACCGTGCCCTCTTCAGGTGTATTGAGAACAAGCTGCAAAGGCTTGTAGGTGGCTCCTGCCCGGACCCTGACCGCCCCTTGGATGGATTCTCCCGGTATTAAGTTCTGTTGGGAAGTGAGTGCCGGGAGCCTTTTTTGAAGCCGATGTGTTGAATCTGGAATTCGTGTTCTGGCCCGTCTGGCAGTTCCTGCCGAACCATTAATTCCCACAGTCTGCAACTCCTCTCAGTTCATTTAAGGGCCGACTTCGCCTTGTAATTTCTTCTCTTGCAAGTCTTGGCTCGAGTCTTGCCCGGGCCTCGGCTGCCGTCTCCTGAAGTTTCACCGCGACGTCGCGAGCCACTGCGGCGGAGTCCGAGGTATGTACCTTGGCTGCCGGCTGCTGGGCTGACGTGACGTCAACGTGCTCTGCAGTTGGGTAAGCCGCCGACGCTCAAGCGCAGGATCTGCCCATTGCCTGCTCGCCCCCTGCTTCAGGCATGGGTCACAAACGATCATAACAAACTGCAACAAACATTGAACGTCCGTATGGCAAAGCCCCGGGCCTTTTCAGATGGTAGCTGTAGGCCTTGTCGTAATTCTGCAAGATCTCCTCCAGCAGTTCGACAGACTCAGAGATGGCAAGGCCCAGAAGGGCAGAAACACAATCATGAGCCGTGCAGCTACCGCGTGAGAATGCCGGCTTCATGGTGGTCCTCACAAACTTCCCGGAGCGCCCCTTCGCGCAGCTTCTGCTGAAGCAGATTCGTGCGGCTGTGGCCCATGCGGTGTCGAAAATTCCTGGGAGCAAATTGCACGACCCAGCCAGACGAATTTCGGAAGCTCTTCGGAGGAGCGAAAACTATGGGTCCACGGTCCACGGCCTGGGAACCCGCAAGACAAGTTCCGGTGATGTTGCGCTAGATGCACCTGTGTACCTTTAGCTTCGGAAACTCCTTCTCGCGACGCCTAGTGCTTGAATCCACGTGTACATATAAAGTACAAAGTGTATCGTCTGCAGTTGGCCCCGATGGCTGCGCACAACAGATGCCAAGTGTCTCCACTGCTGAACACAGGGCCTGCCAAGCCAAGTGCTGCCAGAGATTGCACGAACAAGTACATAACACGCGACTTGGCACCAGAATGGGCCACGTGGGATTCCAGACAGCAGGCCAGCAAGAGAAGGTGTTTGCAAGGCCCCTGATCCAACAGTACCGTAGCAGTTACAATTCTTGCCGTGCCTCTGCACCAAAGGAGCCGTAAAGAGCCAGCGAACGTTCCGCACGCAGCTCGAAGGGCACGTCCAAGTGGAGCACCAGCGCAGCTGTCAAGACAAGTGGCTTGAAACATCTGGACACCGACGTTGCGTAGCCGTTAGGGGCCGAGGAGTGCATGACAATGGTGGGCTTGAGAGGGACATCATGACTGCCAGGGAAAACGCACCGGAGCACACAGCTCGTGCAGGAAGCTCGGTGGGTTGCTGTTGGTGCGAGAACGGATACCAACCTTGGCGGAGCCGACGGTACAGAGCACTTGGCAGCACCTCAGCGGAGTTCATCATCTGGCCGAAGCCCGGGTCGTCATAACGAGCCTTGCGCATGGTAAGCCCGAAGCCCGAAACGCCAGGACTCCAAAATCACAGCACCCTGGATCGTCTCAAGAGCTCTGGTCCACAAAACCCTCAACGCGAAGGTCCCATTCCTCTGCGGCTTTACCTGGGCGCCTGGCCACCGTGCCAATACGAGGGCCCTCATCCTAACGCAATTCAAGGTGAAGATTCCGCTCATGATAAAGCGAATCTGCTTTTGATTGTCGCATATAAAGGAGTGCATGGATACATAGATAGCTAGCTTTCGAGGTACGCAGAGTGACAGATACGTAGGCAAATGGATAGGTACGCAGCTACAGGCTATGCAGGCCTACACTCGCACATAGTAGATAGGCATGCGTATGTCGTGCCTGGGCGCACATGTCATGAGCTTCAGGTGGAAACGTCGGTGTACACACACTGCAGTAAAATTTCTGTATCCGCGCCTGTGTACAATTCAATGTATACGTACGAATCCGCGTGAACGTACGTGTATCTTGCGCAAGTATCTTGCGCGTGCATAGGCATGTGTGTTTGCGTGCGCGTCCCTATCCATCCCTCCCTCCCACCCGTCTACCAAAAAGCACTTTCAGACGATGAGGACTGGCCCGTAAACCCTCGCTGCTGTCTGTCTCCAGCAATGAAGTCACCCCGCCCCCACTCCTGACGTTGCACTTGTCCAAAAAATCGTCGGGATCAAGTCATCTGCTCTTTGTGGTCACAAGCTCTATCTTGGCAGCAGCGCGAAGTGAGAGCGTGATGCCCCATGAAATTAAGAGCCCAAACCAAACAAACAGCCGCACAGGGGCAGGATTCCCAACGGCTCAATTCCGATCTATGCGTGCTTTGATTGTCCCCTCCTCTTGCACTATGACCTTATGATAGACTTCTTCCACTAAGTTCGGACCCTCGCGATGAGAGGCACGGCGAAGCAGCGGCAGGCAAATCTCCCCACAGAACTGCGCCCGCTGTGGCTCTGGCCAGCCCCTGAATGCAGTCCACTAGACACTGAAGTCAGCTTTCTTAACTAAGGTTTCCATCCAAAGCGGCACGCGGCAGCCGCAGTGAATTTGCGATCGGACACGGCAAAACCATGACAGTCCTCCAAGTACACCCAGCGAGACGAGTTCAGCGACGCCCACTGCAATGCCACAGCATTCCTGCAGCACCCGTGTGGTGACACTGAGATTGCAAACAGAAACCTAAGGCAGAGGAGACTGAAACGTGCTGGTCCCATACCGACCTGCGCTCCTAAATATCTGAAACCGACATTCAAAGCATGCCGATCCTCACAACAAGCCCGTTCCGACTTCCCCAGGATTCCGGAGAAGGATACGTGACTTCCTCATATACTCCGAGCTGGGCTGAGTCTTCTCCCCGAGACCGCCGAAGACGCTGCCCTTGTGGTGGGCCAAAGCCTCACAAAGTCGACTGAAGATACGAAACGGTCAAGACTGATACAAATCTCAGACCGCGAGTTGTGTTGAGACAGTGTGTGAATATCTTATGTTGAGTGTCCAACGCGATTGGAACGACAGGATCTACATACACCTGCGATGCGCACACGCTTGCAGAGCAGCATGTGTGCTTGTCTGCTCTGTGTGTGTGTGCACGCATGTAGTTACATACGTATGTGCGTGAACGCATTCAGTATCCGCTCGTGCGTGTGTATGCATGCACGGATCATTGATATGATTGTCCGTCCGTCCGTCCGTCTCTGTCTCTCTTTCTGTCTGTCTGTTTCTTCGTCTGTCTCTCTCCCGCTCTCTCTGCATGCAGGTTTGCGTAGGCATGTGCATGTGCATGTGTGTGTATGTGAGTGTGTGTGTGTGTTGTGTGTGTGTGTGTGCGCGTGCGCGTGTGTCTCTGCATGTGTATGTCTGTACATGAGCCATGTCTGCTTATGCTTGTATTGATGTCTGTATGTAATGCCTCTAGTTACATCCCGTCCCTGCGTTGTGTGCCCTTGGAGCTGCACTCAAAGACATTTAATCTCGCGGAAGCTTGGACGACTCCCTTTCGATGCGATCTTCATGATCCGGCGCACAGCCCCTGAGCAACTTGCAGCCGGCTGGGTTGGGCTGGCTGGGTAGGAAAATCGAATCGGTGCGGGCACCTGTGCCGCTGCACGGAGACGGCGCTCACAGTTAAAAAGAAAATTCAGGGAGGCTGGAAGGCTGGAAGTTCCAGATAGTTCCAGCATCCGTCCTATGCCAAGTCTTTGCTGAAAATGCGTGTTTTGGAATGTACGGTCTACGGTCTTTGTTCAGCGGACTCTGAGGAATCTAAGGGGAGTAAATCTTACGGCGCTGGCATCGGCACGACAGAAGCAGCGTTCTGAGAGCAAGCAATGCTCCAGCACGCAGCTCCACACTCTGTACATGTATCTGGGCAGCACCTGTTGAAAGCAGCGCCTGCGGAAAGGCACGATTAGTCGGCCTTTAGCTTCTGACCTTGGGCAACTGTGCGGTCTCGACGGCTGGAGTCTGCAGTCGCTACTAGTGACCAGTGTGCAACCTTGCAGATACACCACGCACCCAAAGTCAAGCTCTCCAATAAAATGCATACTTAAAATACTTCTTTGCCCATCAAAGAGCTCTTAGCCTTGGCTTCGTCTCCTCGAGGTCCGGTACATGGCGTTGAGTAGACGAAGCAAGATCTGCCACTAACCCTTGGCCGTCTTGCTCCAGAATAAGCTAGGAAAGCTGTGTGCTGTGCACTGCAGGTGCAGAGTCCTTAATGGTTCTCAAAGCGACGGGTGTGTGACTGCATCGGCTTCAATCACAGGACAGCAAGACAGCCTGAGAAGCTCGGCAGATGGCAGATGATACGAAAACTCTGTGCGGACTGGCAGGGTCGCCCCAGCGACCATGCAATTGGCATGGCAGTATGCACATGATTAATCATACTTCGCGGTTTTGGGACTTTTGATACACTTTAAGGTTGAACCGAAACCAGACAACACAGTGTCCCCAGCTGGTGAACCTGCTCAACCTGAGAACCCAACCCATGACCTTGCAGCCTTGCACCTCGTTAGTATGTTTCTATGAAGCGCAGCTGGGCATGTGTATGAATGCATGCATTCATGTATGAATGAACGAATAAACAAAACTCAAACATGAATGAATGCCCAAATGAATGAAAGAAAGACTGAATTTGTGAATGAGTGAACGCGTGAATGCATGAGTAAGTGAGTGAGTCAGTGAATGAGCGAACGGATGAATGAGAGAACGAATGAATGAATGAACAAACGAACATACGCATGCCTCTCCTCTAGTATGCATGTGTGCATGTATGTAAGTATCTGTGTATGTACGTAAGTACGTATGTATGTATGTACAGTATGTATGTACAGTATGTATGCACGTGTGTATGTACGTGTGTGTTGTGGGGTTTCGCAACAGGATCGAAATATCCGAGCGAACTCGTCGTCAGTTGCGTCATCCTGCTTTCCGTTGGGGTTCGCACACTCGATTGGAGAGTAGGGAGGTCGCGGGCATGGGAGATGGGCTGGATGGGTGGTCGAGCGGTGGGCGGGGTGCGTCTTCGTTCACACATGCTCAGAGGCTTTATTTTGTTCGTGTAGGTTTCTCTGACACAGGAGGGCCTGAGAATTGCGTGTACTTCTTCTTACATGCGAACAGCACACACTGCGCCAAGACTTGCAAGTGTACCTCTTGGTACACATGGTAAAGAATAGCAGAATACCAGCAATGGCAGAGTTTGAAGGGTCCACTTAGCATGATTGAAGGACTTTTCAGATCAACACCAGAGCCGTTGCAGTCTCATTCTGGTCGTATTAGTGCGAGGACCCTCTATGACTCTGTGGCTCCTGGCTCCATCCTAGCTCGCAGTTGTCAGCTCTTGCGGCTGCTATACCCCTCATCGAATACCTGCAGAAAGGGCCTTGTGCTGCCAACTGGGCAGAGGCCAGGCCAAACCAACAATGGCAAAACGTAAAACTCTCCATTCGTTGCATTGTGCAACAAGGCATGGCTACATCAGTAGGACTGTGTATGGCTAGACCTCCCTACCTGGTTTGGTAGGGGTCGAGAGACACCTGGGCTGTGCGACTCGAGGCTTGGAGAATTGCAGCGAAGCCTCAAAGCCGCAAGAACGCAGGACCCCAGCGAGCACATGATCCGTTTTGTACGAAAATCTATGTCACTATGCTCTGGTCCTGACTGATCATGTGCTTGTCTTGGTCCTTAGTAGCAAATAGCCGCTCTGCCTTGTGGCATCATGCGGCACGCCCAAAGTATCGATGGCAAGTCTGTGCACAGCAGGTCCAGCGCGAAGAAGCATTCTGAACAGCAGCCGCCGGGCTAAAACTCAGCTTCAACCCCTTCGTTCATATCCGAGCTGTCTATGTTCTGTCAGAGATGACTGAAGCGAGTTCAGCATAAACGGTCATAGAAGTATCGAGAAGGAGCCCAGTGACCGATGCTCTTTCAACTGCTTTCGTGCTGCAAGAAGTCTCGACTTGCAGCTCGGAGCTCGGGCCGTAAGAGGGCCGCCAATCTAGTGTATCCAGACCTAGGACCTAGATCTACCAAACGCACAGCCAACTTTCTGCAAGTCGACATCAAGGGGTTCAAGAAATCCGGACATGTGTCCAACCATCGTATTGCCCGTGCCGCAAGCCAAAAATCTCGAGATTGGCACATGACACGGGCCCTTTCAGCACATGTGGATACATCTGACTCAAAAATACGGCTAAGCGCCATGCCCACGTGCGCTCTGGCGACGTGAACTCTCTGACAACCTGCAGCCCAATCAGAAGTCACAGTCCTGACCCAGACATCACCTTGGTGACGAAGTAGAACACCCCCACCGCGCAGATGTAGAAGGCTTTCAACACCTCACAGAGCACACACAAACCCTGTCGTATGCCGTCCTCCACAGTTAGGACAAAGACAGACCCTGTGCTCAGCTTCAGGCCATGTCCCTCGTCAGTCGCACCTCAAAAACGTAGAACCCAGCCTCATTTCAGACAGGGGTCAGCCTTTCCACAACTCAGAAACCCTATCCCTTCTACAATCTGGAATCTACAACTTCCCGAGATGAGCTTGCAGTGGCTTGCACAGTCAAGCATGCCCCGAAGGCATCAAGGCAAACATGATGGTGAACGGAGACGGTCAATCGTGACATGTGCTTGCCATGTCACTTGACTGTAGAACCTCAGCAGTGGTGGCAGTGAGACCGCTGCAAGGCTCAGCAGGTCTCGAAAATCGTGCAATGCACGGCTTGAAGCTTCCAAGCAAGCCACTGCAGAAGCACGGCAGCCAGCGAACAAGCATAGAATCAGAGAGAAAGCTCAGGCGCTAACATGTACTCCACCAGATACATGCGGTCTGCATCAAGCTCACGTCCGAAGCCAAGCCTCGATCTCGAGAATCAAAGAGAAGATCAGCCCGAAGCTGCTGAGGTATGCATCCAGCTGTTCATGCATTTCACTGCACATTCCGTCAGCCATGTAGCGAGTTGACGAAGGATGGCAGGCGCTCACAGTGATCCTTGCAAGCAGTTGGAGTTTGAAGTGGAAGCACTCGGCCTCGATGCCTACAGTACATCCCAAAGCTCGACGTTAGACTTCAAAGACAGGTTGCAGTCACACTCGCCGCATGCAGGAACATCTGCGCCAGTCCAAGCAGGACAATGACTCCTACACCAGGCGGAGCATCTTGATGACCGAATTGAACGTGGGACGTGGAGCATCGAATTCGGGACTTTGCTACTCCGCCGGCATGAAAAGCTGGCAACCCACACAGACGTGCTTCTTCGGGATGCGAAGCCCCGGCTCCTGAGATCGCCACTTCGGCGCCTGAGCGATGGAAATCATCCAAGCCGAGGATCAATGCCTGCGAGATGCAGCTTCTCTCCGGGGTTGGGAGATGCCGGAAACATGAAGCAAGAAAGAAGAGTCGTCTTTGCCCTAAGATCTCCTGCTCCTACCATCCCAGCTCTCACGCCGTGGTGAAGTCTTGTTAACTTATGCCCTCAAACATGCATGATCTGATTTGCATAGCATGACACAACGGCAATGGTGCTCTGCAGCACGATCCATAGAAACTGCAGCGAGCTGCAGCTCCTGGCAACAGCATGTGATGATTCAATATGTCATGTAGAGCACGTCACAGGGGCTGACGTCTGCGTGACGCGACATCCCTAGAAGAAGGACGCTGCCTTCCTCAGGCCCAGAACCCTTCGCCCTTCTTGATAGTCCTGCGGAGAAGTGCTTGCAGAAGGTTCCACTCCTCCGAGAGGCAGACTCCACGGAACAGCAAATGGCGATCGAGTGTAATCAGATTCATGCCTGGCCCCTGGCAGCACGGTCAGGGTACCGAAATACACCAAGCTGCCTGCTCAGCTGCGCCCAGGTCTGATGACGACACCAACTGGAATGAGAAGTCATCTATCATGATGTAGAAGCCTTGCCCAGGGAGTTCTTAGCCCGCAGGACCGAGCACGTATTTTCAGATCTAATCTACTCTGTATTCGTCGTACAAATAGCCCAGGGCCTGCGGCCGTCCCTGCTCATTGCTTCGAGCCCATGTACATGGCTTAGGCGGCCTACGGAACACCAGACGCCTAGATTGGCCGCGCAGCCCGAGAACCTTGGGGTTTCACAGTTTCATCATTCAGCCAGAGGGCCGCGGCAGAGTCGAAGAATCCGAAACAGGCACGCCAGCAAGATGCCAGTCGACACCTACAGCTTCCACACTCTAAGAGCTGGCTTAGTCATGAAAGCGTTGACCATCTTCTTGGTCATGCAGCAGATGCCCCTTCACTCCTGATTCGACGGCCTTTGCGCATTTTCTCACGGGACCCAACTTAAACTTCAGCCACGAAGCTGCAAAGCACACCACGCTCGACCTTGTCACTTCGGGACGGATGTCTGCACACGAATACTTCCCCCAACTCTTGAGGGGGGCTGCTACCGTCATGTCGCCAAACCTACATTTGGAAAGCACATCAGCCAGTAGATTCTAAGTAGATGGTCAAAGGACAGCGGCAATACGCCTTGGAACGACAACTCACTACAAGGCTTTCATCAGGCTTTCTGACCAAGAGCTTCTGTCATGACCCTCCAAGCAGAGCAGGCTACATTCTACAGGGGGTGTGCCAACATTGACTCGGGTAATGCGCGCTTTAAATTCGCCTCGGGGCCGGCCGAAGCGGTCAGAGTCTCCCCTAATGAATCCCTGTTTCCTCTCCAGTGACCCACCTCCCCTTGGGTTAGAGACCCTTTTGCCCGGCGGAGAGTGGGCTTGCCGGTAGCTCCCTGCAATGAGGCCAAGACGGGCTAGCTTACCGAGTTGGTGAAGTTGATGCCAAGGCACAGCCGGGCCGAGGCCGACGATGCGAAGCGTCTAAACAATGTTTATAGCTGCCTCTGTCGAAACTCGCCATGCTGGAGTAGTTACGGCCTGGGGAAACTGACCTGCACTTCCCGATGTGGTGCAGATTATTGGCCCAGCTCTTCCTAAAGTAGGCTACGACGGGACAAGGGGTACACTGCACTGGCAGTGCAGGTATCCTGGATGCCATGGTTTAGAGTGCCGACTGTTTGCATGCCGGAACTCGATTTGGCAAATGCCGGGTTTTGCTCGCCAACAGACATTGAATATGGAGCGGCCGGAGGTCGCAGGAAAGCACTTCGTCACGGACTACTTCATGCAAGGGGTGGGTTTCGTCGTGGAATGTCGTGGACAATTGATTTTCTCAAAGCCCTCAGCATCCTGGCCGCTGAGGAAAACTACAGTCAATCACCTGCAGCCTGCTCTGAGGCTTGTGCAAGTATGTCAGCAGGATCTCCGAGGACAGCGAATCCTGCGAGTCCAAGGAAGGGTTCGATGTGACCTATGCTGTGCTGGGAGGAGCAGGGCCACACTTCCCGAATGCCGAACATGCCCGTACCAGGTTGCTGTCTGCAGCCGCCAGTTGTTCTAACGTAGTCTTCCGTGGGTTTAAAGCCGCATTGATAAGGAGTATCATGCCACTAGCAAAACGACCTGCTACAGCCACTGTCACAAGAGCCTTAGGCAAACAAGGCCCGGACGGCTTGTGCATGAGAGCAACCTCTCACCCGTGAAGGCCAATGCCACGCCAGCAAACATGGGACCTGCAGCCCTTTGAGCTACGGAGCCTTCCAGTTTCAAGTGACAACCGCCGCAATGTGATTGCCTTAGGGCCTTGAGCCAAACCCAGTCTGCAGGCAACCCAGCCTCAGGCATGTGCATGACAATCTCACGCGCTCGCTCGCCCGTCGCAAGCAGCCAGAAGCTAATTACCTGCAGCTTCACGTCTCGAACATTCTGTTCGCTAGCGTTGGTGGCTACACCAGATGCACAGGCAGGGATCAGCTAAAGCAGCTTCGGTCGCACCTGAAAGGCATCGCGGCGGCAAGCGGACTGCCAGTCCTCCTTCAGCTCTCTCCTCAGTCTTTCAGAACCCCGTCAGCTAAAAGCTGCACGCTTTCCAGCTGAGCGTGCTACACTCGCCAGCAATCACTCACTCGCAAGACTCCGAGTGCCACGGAACCGCACTCGCGAATGTGGATGCCTCTCGAAAGTCAAACTGCATGCAGCATGTCGATGCCGCTGAGTTGCGCATCCGCAAACGCATCCAGCATTGCTTCCTGAGGAAATCCGACTAGTTCCCCCGCACGTCTCCCAACAAAACGGAGCAAACAGAAACATGCACACACATACAGAGGGTTTCATAGGCAGCAAGTTCAGCCGAGGCTCGCATTCGGCTACCTGAGGGTTAATGCACTTCATGCGTGGCACCAAACCCCATGAATCTGCCCAGTCAGGTCTAGAAACGTGCTCGATTACGAGTCATTGATGACGGTAGCTTGTCCCAAAGTTTGAGAACGGCTAAACTGCAGGAGGGTACGAGAATGTTCAGCAAGCCGCTTCTTGTATGCATTGGGTCTTCACACCGTCAGCGACTCGATGCGGCCACGAGGCCCCGGACCCGCATCCAACAAAAACAACTCACGGAAATTCTGGCTTCAAATGGCATCTGCTGACGGGTTAAGCCATTCGAGCCATGGTTGAGTCCAGCCGCGGAGGTGCGCATCCACAAGCATCCACAGCAGATCCTGCCAAACACATCTAGCCTAGTCCGCATGGCAACAGCAGTAGCTGCACATGCTGATAGCGACATAGACTGACAAGTGCAGACTTGAAGCTGTACCTGCAACAAGCTCGCACCACCCGTCCACCCTTTCTGCCTACCCAATGAAATTTGCAACTCACTAACGACACTTTCTCTTTGCAAGCTGCGCCTGTGCAGCAATTTAACTTGAAGGGTGAATCTGAAACTCGTTAACCCTCAGCAGTAGTAGTTTTTTGCCCTCAGCAATAGTTTTTGTCACCCACACGGCATGCCAATGACAGCTCCGCGGGGACTTAAATGGTAACCAGTCACGAAGATATCCCAGTTCAGAGAGAAACAGCAGAACAGAAGGTAAGACCACAGACTACACCGGGACATCCATCGATCTGATGCACTCTCTGCGCACACTTCAGCTGCAATAAGCTTTCAGAACAAATCACTCAGATGAATGGGCAATACCCAGAAGCGCACCCCAAAAGCAGCAATAGTGTGTTCTGAATTACTCACACACGTGTATCATTTCTACAGCGTTATGTGCCTACAGCTGTACAGTTTCAACTGCAAGATGAGGGAAGGCTCAGTTCCGTACAACAGCGAAAAACCACTAAAGCAACTCAGCAGTAGTAGTAGTAGTAGTAGCAGCAGCAGTGCTTGTAGTAGTTGTGAAGGCAGCAGTGGCAGCAGTAGAAGAAGTACTTGTTGTCGAAGGAGTCAAATGCATCAGTCAAGCCGAGATGCAGGCAGAGGAATGCTCCCAAAGCGAAGCCCGCATCATAGAAGAGGTTTGCCCTGCCCAAGGGCCAGGTTGTCAGTCTGGGAGATTCCTGTCTCCGTAATCCTACACTCAGCATTGCAGCTCGGAAACCAGAGGGGCCTCAAGCTCATGTCGGCGCTCATTTTGTCTGCAATGATCACTCCCACATCCCAGCTCAGCACCAAAATCGATGCGAGCATCAGGACCTGCACCCACAAGCACTCAGACCGCAGTGAAGTGACTCTCTTTTTTAGTTGAGCCCTCATTTGCCCGTACGGTTAGTTGGAATGCCATGCTGGCTGAGGGGCCGGTGAAGTGACTCTCAAGTTGCAGGGTGCGTGTGCTTGCAATGCATGCCACCACTGTGCCACGACAGCACCTTCGTCATGCATCTCACACAGTGGCTGCCGCAACCCTTTACAACGGCAGTCGCCCTCCTTCCCCATGCACTTCCACCGTGCTTCCACTACGAACTGACACACAGAGAGACTCAGAGAGAGAGTGAGAGTCAATAAGCACACGGAGAGAAAGAGTGAGAGAGCGAGAGAGGAGGAGAACGAAAGAGAAAAAAGACAGAAATGAGCCACGTACTACTCATTAAACACACTGGCACGCTCATCGTCGCTCGATTCCTGCACATTCTTAGTAGCCACAGCTGGTTCAGGTTTGCTTCCTCACAACTGGGCAGAGCCCATCGGGGACATCGGTTAAAGCTTCACCGGTCGAGGGGTAAGAGCACCGCCCATCAAACATCATCAGGCAATAAGGTAAACATAACCATAAAACCGAAAACAGGGTTTGTGGCACTGTCTTTGCACCACGCCGTGCTTGCAAGGACCGCCCACTTTCACGACATGGAACAAAAGTTGCTCAATGACTTAGCTCAGAATGGGTTCACATCCGCTGTGCACTGCTGCTTGCTCATACACCTAGAGTGTTCTTCTTGTCAGAGAGACTCTTCAGCTGTCGCTTTAAAATGGCTTTTGTTGTGCTTCGAGCTTGAGTTGATGTGCTCTGTTTCAGCGGTCTCTTGCTTGTCCTTTCATGGTTCGGTTGAAAGGCACTATCATCCCCTTCGTCGGTCGTCCACGGGAAGGTGGGTCTTTAGAAATGCTGAACCCAGCCCGGCCATGTGAAAGAGCGCCGTTGTGATCCGGGATTCGCTGATGGAGTCCTGATGGTGCGGCATCTGCCATGGACCAGGATTTGCAAAGCACAGGGCACTCTCCTGACTCTCTGGGTCTCACGATTCGAGCAACGCCGGTGGGAGCAAGCAACTGTTTTTAGTTAGCTGCTTCTGGGCACATGCTGGAGTTGAAAAGCCACCGGGCACCGCTGGCAGGCGGACAAGCATCCCAAGGTTTCGCAAACACCAGCTGCCAAGTTGCCGAGCAGTTGATCAAGGACAATACCTTCACAGCACCATTGCCAACCTCAAATCTGAAGCCGGTTTCAGGTCCAGACCGTCGACATGGATGACCGTCTGGACCTGTCCTACAATCCGACCACTCTGAACGAGCTGCAACGAAAAGTGGCTGCCAGACCCCTTCAGATCCATTAACCGGCATGAACATGTTGGCAACGCTGTATGGTAATGTGGGGGCCATTTTACACCGGTGAGCCTTTTTTCTGCATTTTCCCGGTGCCTATTCGAGCCCGTACCAAAAAAGAGTGGCCTCTTTAATGCGTTTTATGTTGGTTGGGGGATTGTTTTTCGGTGGTTGCTCCTGTCTGCTGATGGTCAATCTTAATGAAAGCACGCAAACTGAAGCCGAAACTCTGTCCTAGACCCGACCCCCCCCTACTTAAGCCTAAATCTTAACTCCCCCTTGAGCCTAATCTCAACCCTTTACCCTAAAGCCTCGACCCATCGTCAACTCAAATCGCCCTCCAAGCCCTAAAACCCTGGCCCTGAAGCCCGAAACTCTCCCTAGACCCGAAACCCACCCTATTTAAGCCGAAATCTTAACTCCTCTCGAGCCTAATCTCCACCCCTCTGAACCCTAAAGCCCTCATGAACTAAGATCCCTGGCCCTGACGCCCGAAAATTCCCCTGGACCCTAAATCCCCGTACTTAAGCCTAAATCTGAACTCCCCCTTGAGCCTAATCTCGACCCCTTACCCTGAACCCTCGACCCTCCTCTAAAACCCTCCCTGCAAGCCCTAAAACCCTGGACCCTAAACCCTACACCCCCCCTGGGCCTAATAATCACTTAAGCACCGAACCCTCGCCCAAACCCTTCTGCTCCAGTCCACCTAAACCCCTATTCAACCCGAGCCCCAAGGAGCCCTTCCTATGTAAAACCGAAGCAAACGACTGACCCCAAGCCCCCCGAAACCTACAGCACCCTGTTCATCAACCGCTTCTACTTGAGCACCTACTGAAGCCAGCCAGCCCTCAAACCCTGCAACCCCCCAATTCCCTTGTAACTTAATCAAAGCCACCCAGACCCCGAGCCAGCCCCCAAACCTGGGACCCCCAATTCTTTTCTAACTTCATGAAAGCCACCCAGACCCTGAGGCCCTGAGCCAGCCCCCAAACCCTAACCCCCAATGCCCTGCTAACTTAATCAAGGCCACCCAAACCCTAATCTACCGAACCCCGGTCCGGGGGGGCATTGTCAAGCCAAATACTTTTTTTTGTGGGGAGGGGGGGGCATATTAAAAGGGCCCCCACGTTAAAAACAACTGGAGAATCGACAGCACTCCCTGTCAAAAGCCAAGCAGCCTTTGCAAGACATGTCCATTTTGGGCGCTCTTCCTCTTCGGAGATGTCAACATCCTTGTGGTCAGCAAAGCGACGGGGATGCAGCCCGAAGCTGCGAATGCTGCACGATGCCTCCACGGCAGCTACATCGCTGGACCTGGTTAACATCCCCAGCACCGCTTAGTTACATGACCCACGTCTGCAGACAGGTCCAAACTACCCGAAACATCCCAGAGCTGACCGATCCCATTGCCAGCTCGACCAGGTGTCCAAGATAGGCGCCACCGTAGGATCCGTGGCAGTGAAACCAGGAACTGACTTTATGGTAGCCTCAGTTTTCAGGTTGCCTCCAATCCGACCGCATCAGCCCGATAGATTGGCCGAATTATCGATGACCACAGATTCACTGACTCAGACTGTCAGAGCATGAAGCCAAAAACTTAGAAAACACAATTGCGTCTTGTTCGTGTATTCGCCAAGGACGAGGGGAGGAGATTCAGGTGACTTAGCCAGATGGCCTGGCCTCCCCAACAGACACCACAGCACGCATAGTCAACTAGGAAGCCCGGATCAGCTCTTCGTTCTTCTCATCGCGGAGCTGGCAGGTGTCACGCTTGGACCTGCATCTTCACGACATGTAAAAGAGTGGCAAGTGCCAGCTACTTGCAACTATCTTCTGAACTGCTGATCTTCTGAAGTGCACGCCGACTCGTTCCGCTAGCCGCCCTAGCCTTCCAGCCGTGATGTTCCGCTTGAACGCATCATTTTCCGTTCGGAGAAAAACGTTGGAGTCCATCTGAGCAGCTGCAAGCATTGGCATGCTAGCACGGCTGAGTTTTCCGCTACTGAAAGACCACGAAGCCAGCAGGACAAGGTGCTCTTGGCAGTGGCTGGCTATCCTGCAATCATGCAGCAGACCCTTCAGCTTCGAGCATGCATCAGTCTCTGCTCAAGCATGTTCAAGCTCCGTCCCTCACAGCGGGGCTAGGAAAGAAGATCAAGCTCACCGCTGTCCTCACTGCCTGAACTGGAGGACTCGCCTGCATTCAAATTGCTGCTCATCTCGTCAAGAACACCGAGTAGGCAAGCACTAACTTGGACGTTTTGTCCCAGGTGACAGCAGTTGCCTAACAACGACGTTCAAGAATTTCGGGTGTGAGAGACGGAGAGACAACTCAAAAACAAGAGAGAGGGCGAGAGAGAAAGCGAGAAAGAAAGAGAGAGCGAGAGAGAGAGAGAGCGAGCGAGAGAGAGAGAGAGAGAGAGAGAGACAGAGCTGAGCCCACTTCACTTCTGAAACTGCAAAACCCCGAAAGCGGGAATCATTTGAAGCCGAGCCCGCGCAACACCCTTCTCGATTAGAACCACGGAAGCAAGCAAAGTCTGTTTCTTTCCTGCTGTTTGCCCAAAGTGGCTTTTGTCTTGGTAGCCTGCACTAGAAGCCTCTAGACTCTAGTAGACTGAACCATCCATGCCACATGCCATGTGCACCCTGTGACCTTGCCCTTATGTGTTGGCCGAGCCACAATGCTCTTCAAGGGGTGGTCCAAATGCAGGCGCAAAGCCTGCAGGAAGAGCAAGCATGCAACGGCAGCAAAACACACGCAAGGCGAGTAGTCTCTCAAGAGCCTGAGAGACCAGCGGTTGAGCAAGTCTTGCAGCTCTGTGTATCTACAAGTGCAAACCTCACGAAACTCAACATCAAATTCCAAAATCCTGCACTCCCTCCCTTCGGATTTCCGGACCTTTTTTGTCCAAGTCGGATATACTGCTGCGACTGCGACTCTTTGTTGAGCCCTGCAGGGGTCAAAACTGCAAGAGTCGAGCGCAGTTGCAGTGCAAGAACTGCACCGCCGTTCCTTCCACTAGCCCACCAGAAATACGCTGCTCTGCACTTCTCCTGTCCTGCATGGTCAGTTCCATGTCCCGCGATTCTATGGCCTTCTGCCTCATCCAAGCAGACAGTCGGTCAGGAACTGCGGATACTTCTCTTCTCTTGATGCTTTGACTTTTCGCTCTTTGCTACCACAAGCTTTGGCAGGTGAGGCCTGAAGAAATAGGCAGTGAAATTTGTAAGGATGATTTGGAGCCCGTGAAGCAGGAAATTCACAAGACATTGCGTCCGTCGAGCGTTTGGCAAGCTGGAAATTTCCGGATCAATCTTTCGGACGACCCACGCCCAATGCAGCCTCACCAAACGGCGAATTACTCTCATCCTTTCAGGCCTTCCAACTCCCCAACTGTCACGCTTGGCCAGTTGGCAAACGGATGTCTGGGCACCCCTGCCTTCGTAGCCACTTCACAATCACTGCAGTTAAAACCCTCCAGCCTCCAGCCCCTTTTACGTCACTGGCTATCAATGAACATGAACATCTTTGCGTACATTGCACCCTGATAACTCTAGCAACAAGCGAAAGCTACTAATGACCTTGGCATCTCCATGGCCACTTCTGGCCAGTCTCAATCAATAAGGTTCCACTTGAGGGCTTTCAAATCCAAACCTGTTGACGTGAGCTCGGGATGAGGAGACATGTCCAGTCATGCTGGGATCTCGACGGCAATGCACCAGGAGGGTCCATGCCGTCCTGGAGACACATGGACTTTAATCAAAGCTAGCAGCATGTAGAAGATATTGCGAACGACAGGATGAAGCTTGAATAGGACTGTAGTGGCAAAACTCCTCGTCAGACACTTATTCCGAGGTTCACATAGACAAGGGCACGTGCGCTCCAGGCAACTTCTGGATCCTTGGACCCGAACCAGAACACCGCTGAGCCTATGAATTCCTACAGGGTTTGCAAAGTTGCATTGCAAAGCTTGAAATCTCAACCAACCCGCCCTTTTTTGAAACCGGACTTGATGACTGCCAGCACTAAACCCTTTTCAGCACGGACTGAGGTGCCGGCCAGCGCCAAGCACTAAAACCCTGAACCCTAAACCCGAAACTTTGGCCACTGGGCTGGGGCTAGCCAGATCCTTAACCCTAAACCCGAAACCGTAGTGTCCTTGTCGCTCTTGTTGCTCCGGTTGCTATGCGCACGAGGCTGGAGCGGTGGAAGCACTGGAGCTTGGCTGTTGGGCTCTTGGACCTGCAGACGCTTTCAAAGCATGCGTATGATACATACATACATACATACATACCTACGTGCGTACGTACGTACCTACATACATACATACATACATACATACGTGTATATATATATATATATACATATATATATGTGTGTATTGTATATATGTATACACACATATGCATATGAGGCTGCGAGGCTGCTCTCTCTCTTGCTTGCCTCTCTCTCACGCAGTCTCGAAGCACCGGCTACGTTCAGGCGGGGTCCAAAGAGGCACCTATGACCTATGACATCCTATGAGCCTATGAATATGCTGCCTTCACCAAATGTCGCCACAAAAGAAGAAGATGCTAACAAGACGACTTTGTGAATTGCGCATCGCTGTTGCGAGTCCGAGGCTGTTAAAGTGCTGAACGCGAACCGCAGCGTGGCAAGAGACGGACTGGTAGATGTGCGAATCCATGAAACCTGGATATTTCCTCTTGCCTCGTGTGCATACGTGAGGATTCACTATCCCTATCACGCCCGGCACGAGTTTCGTGAGGTTGCCGCAAGCGAAACCGCTTGCAGCAGCTTTTCGAGTCAGACCCGCACCTGGCTGTCCATGGCGGCCTTGGCTGTTCGGGGAACTCAAGACTTAAGGCAGCGAGAGAGTGCCGAAATGTAAGCTCACCAAGCACAAGCTCTGCGCTTCAATTTCCTGGATTCCTGGCTACAACCGTTGGTGTGACAAGAAACTCAGGAACACAAGTCTGGTCACTCAACAGGAAAACAAGCTTGAGCTGGGGAACCTGCAACTGTTCGTGGCAGGCTGCTTGGGCAGTAGCCCGAGTGAAGACTGGCGAAATTTGTTGCAAACTTGCAGCTGGTACCACCGGCAGGACAGCTGCGGCGTCCGACGGCTTGTCCACTTTGTTCTCTAACTCCAGGGTGCAAGACATGTTGAAATTGAACAGCGTGATGTGGGAAGGCATCGGAGCAAATCGAATCTGCTTGCTCAAGGCAGCGTCTAGCTGACAGGGTGCAGACTGTGGCCTTCTTGGAGCCTTGACGTCGCAAGAACATGTTGTCAGAAGAGGTGCCAGCCTGTCCCCAGGTCGGGGTTTCCATGCAACAAATGGAAACAAAAAACGGAAGCTGACGACTCTGGCAAGCGAATCCAAATCCTAATCAAGATCTCCCTGTCGGAGAGACCCAGCTGTGATGATGACTACCTGCTCCCAAAGTTTCGGCAAGCAGGTTGCTCGCCCGAAGGGCAGCATCTACTTTTCCAAATCTCAGACAACGATCGCTCACCCTCGCCCCTTGGTGCACTGCAGACTATGGCATCGAGGTCCCATCACGGCTGGCCTCTTTGCCCAACAACCTTGCGAGATTGTCAAGCTGACTGCATTGCGTTAGGCTTGCATGGTGGAAATGCAGATCTGCCAAAAGCACCACCAACAGATTCGCGGCCAATGCCATGACAGTCACAGTACTACGGCAATCATAATAATGCTTCCCCATAATGTTTCGCGGCCCTCATGCCCCGTGTGCCCCCGCCCACACACACACAACCCGGCCACAAAAATCATCGTACCAGCAACAAAACTGATAACCATAACAATAACACTATAACCTACAGTAGTTAACCACAGTATTTATATATCATAATAACAGTACCAATTCATACAATAATACTGGAAAATGGTGACCGTGCTATCTCTGCCCTAACCATACTATCTCCGCCGCGACACGGGCAGCCGTTGCTAGGGGCACGCTGCAAGAAAAGCTCTTTGGCCAACTTCAGCTCCAGGTCTTTCATGCCCATCCTGAAACTGCACAAACACAGGGGGGCTTCTGGTCAAGAAACAGGTCCTGTACGTACTTCAAAAGCGCTGCGCCCCCAAACCCTAGTCCTTAAACCCTGAGCGCTCAAGCCTCAATCCCTCAACGAAATGCTGTGGACCTGAGTGTGCCTGCTACAGTGACAAGTCGCTGGGAATTAAGCCGCCCGCGAGATACATGGATGTTTCAAACACAAGTGGATATTTCACCTTTCCAGCTGGCTCTGGTGGCCTCTATGGGCTCTCTACTGCCAGCTACTTGTAAAGCAGGTATCTTCTCCAGCTTGCCGTGGTGGTGGGAGTGTCCTCCCCACTTCGGATCGCCTGAGACAGCATCGAGAACTCTGCAGTGTGTGCGGGCACCATGTCTGCCGTTGCTTACCAATTAGCGAACCCATCATCCGGCCCAGCGGCCTGAGATCGAAACATCGTCCATAGAGGATTTCTGGCTGTTCCTTAGATGTTTCTGCTCGGGCTTCGGGGCACAATTTTCAGCGCGTAAAGCGACAAACCATAGCCGATCCTCACTAGATCTTCATAGTGAATAAAGTTTTCTCGCGGTAGGTGGTGCGTGGCGGTGGCTTTCTCTGGTCTACATGTTCCTATCTGCCTACTTTTCAGCCAGGGGCTCTTGATAACTTTCTTCTCAGTTTCTCCGATGTAACCAGGGAGTCACCTACACACAGGCCAGACACGATTCGCGAGGATCAATCTGATTCAACCCACTGATCAGGTGGTCGCTTGTCCAATTGATTCGTGTATTTGTCAAGACCTAGTAAATTCAAATCTGACATGAAGTCGACCAGTTTGTAGAATTTGCAACACGGCGGCGATGGCTGTCCGCCGATCCTGCAGCTACCGCAGACAAAAGACAAAGGATCGGGGGCTTCGTTCATTAGGCGTCTGGCCCGAGCGCAGCTAAAGCTTAGCGTCTCCAATTGGAGTTGTTTAGCTTTCTGCGTATAGCAGACCCCAGCTATTGCCATAGCGCTGCCGCCTTGCCCTTGGTGGGCTTGCTGGCTTTCTTTCCAGGGGGCGCTCCCCTGTTTCAGGTTTCGCTGCCTCGGCCGAAACCTGGACGCGCGCTGCGACTGGGGTCGCATGCGTGCCGCCAGAAATTACTGGCCTTTGCTACCGCTCTTCTCCTTTGGTGTTTCTTTGACTGCGTGGGGAAGCTTTGGTGAGCAACCGATATATTTCTCGGGCCTCGAGCCCACCTTGGCATCGCAGGCGGAGGAAAGCCCGTGCCAAGGCCAGGAGTGCACTCCGAGCAGGAAGGTTTTCCCAGGCAGCATATCGGCTGCTAGCTCAACACCACGGTGGGATGCCTCCCAAGACAGCAGGAGCACCAGCGCCTACGAAGCCTCAAGGAGGCAAGCAGAAGGGTCGTGGAGAACCCCCCGTGCAACAGAGCCGCGTGGATTTCGGGCTTCCTCAGACCGTCGTCCAGGCCGTTCAATCCATCTCCACAAGAGCCACGCAGGACCTCTGGACAACGGCACCGATGCCCTTCATGGAAGGTACTGCAGAACAGAACCTGCAGCGACGTACAAATATGACCAACAAGCTTGCCAAGCGCCTAGCTGCCAACGCGCGCGCCAAAGCCGACCTGGGTATCTCCTTACAACAATGGTTCCTGCAACTAGGACAACATGCGGTTGGACTACTTTCGCAGGTTCGCGCGATTGGCCAAAGACTCGATGCAGATACCGAGGTGGCAGCGGGCGAGATGCGGGACATCCTTGCAGGCCAGCCGTCAGAATCAACTTCTGCGCAAGTGGAAAGAGCTCTTGCAGCGTTGGGGCCTGTATGGAGCCCTCTGCAAGAAGAAGAGGTCTTACAAATCGCCGCCCGTTTGAGGGCCTTTGGTGCTACTCCAGCTACCGGGGCACCAACAATGGAGGCCCCCAGTGGCGTTGCGCCGCCATCCTTCGCCGGAGCTGTGATGTCTTTTATCAGACACGAGCACGCAAGTCCCAGTTTCGAGGCCAGTTTTGGTGCAGTTGGATCAGGTCTCTTGAACTCTGCAGCGAGGGAACTGGACTACGGAGGCCGTGGTCGCTTTATGGATGGCGAAGACTCCACCACTCTCGATGGCGTTCCGAACCCCCTCGGTCGACTTGGCACTGCTACAGTGGCTACAGACTCGACTGGTGGAGATGGAGGCCCTTCAGGTTGCGGTCGAGGAGGACGTTGGCGAAAACGAAGTGGTGTCATACCCGACCGGCCTTTCAAGAGCCCTCGTCGAGAGGCTCCGGCCGAGCCGTGGCGAACCGCAGCCACAGGTCTTACGCCGGAAGCGGTACCCCGAGTACCACAGACTACTCTGGTGGAGAACGACATGGAGCTCGCCACCGAAGCGACGGGTCCCACGCCGGTGTCATGGGTACGGTCTTGGGTTCATCTTTTAAGGTTTGCCGTAGACAACGGAGCCGAGCCAGTGGGGGATGTAGCCACGTGCCCCGAGCAGGACTCTGCATAGCCTCTCGTGATCAACAACGAGTTGATGCAACCTACTTTGGAGTTCGCAGAAGCCACTTGGAGCGCCCTTCAAGCTGCCCTGCAAGACCCGCAGCCGACCTCCTTGCAAAACTTGTACTTCATGCTCCTGCAGGTGCTACACAAGGTCAAACTCTGCGCTGGAGTTCTGGGTCAGGTGAAGCAAGGTGTCATGGTTGCAGCACATGTGTCAGTCGGCAATCTTCTCGACCCTTACAGCTATGCCCCTGCCACGTCCCAAGAATGGCTCTTTCCGAGTCTTCTTGTCGAGAGGGCCGAACCGCTTCGGGGTTTCATCTCAGCGGCGCTAACAGCAGAGCCAAACGTTCGGGTCCTGATGACCCAGCCGTGCCCATTTGCCACTCAAGAGCTTCTTGCCTGTGCGGAACCGTCGGCCTCCCTTGGCGACAGTTAAAGGTTTTATGCCTGCTGGCGTGTTATTGTGTACTGCCTTGGCTCTTGGCGGTGCGTCTTCTGGAGGCTTTCGTGAAAGGTTTGCACTCTAGCACCGGATATGACCACTGGCAGGTGCCTCCTGCAAGTGCACATAGCCTTGAAGAGGACGTCTCTTCTACTCGCACTTTCACTTCACACTCGTCCTCCGGCTTCGCCAGGTCGCAATGTCACGTAAGTTACGTGCCTGGGGTTTTATATGGCTGCTCTGCACTCCCACCCATGCTGTGCAGATTTGGCCGGCCGGCAGGGTCGGAGATGCCACAGTCTTTACCACAAGTGCCGTCCCGGACACGCGTGCAGCCAGCGATCTGGCTCCAGTAAGTGTGGCGGGCACGCCCTGCATTACTCCTGCACTCCAGCAGGCACCTGTTGCGTTACGCGACGTTGCGGTTTTCGCGCCCCATGCAGGCACCTGTCCTGAGGTTTTACAGGTTGACGACCGGGCTCATGGATTTCTTTTGTTTCGGGGTATCAATGCGGCACTTGGCCTAGGCTATGCTGACTGGCACTTCCGTCGACAGGTTGAGGTGTTGCCGTCTCTCCCGCCAGAGCAATATGTGCTTACAGACCCAAACCTTGCATGGCACCAGATGTCCATACCTGTCGACCTCCGACCCATTGGCGGGTGCGTTACTTTGGTTGCAGTGCATCGCAACCAACCGTGTGGCCAGATCATTCAACAGGTTGCACGTTCGCAACGGTGCTCTGTCCCGGATGAGTTGCTTTGCAGAGTAGGAGGCTACTGGTTTGAACCTGCCGCCCGCACGCTACTACTGCCTTGGGGTGATGCACTACAGGCTTGGCCTGCGAGTCGTATCCCGCGACCCCATTTCCCACAAAGCTCAGGCTCCTTGTCCCCGAGATTGTCTCTTGAGGACGCTTTTTCCACTAGCCTTTCTTTGTCACACAGTGATGCTGCAGTATTTCACCAGACTAGCGGCCATAACGCTGTGGTAGTCACTCCTTTCGGTTGCATTACACATATGCTCCTCGCTTTGCGGATGCCGCCAGCATCTGCCAGGCTGTTAGGCATCAGGTGCAGGTGTCTGCAGCGGATGCTCAGCAGCTTGTTCGCATACTGCCGCCGTTAGACCATCTCCCTGCTGTGCAATTTGTCTCCGTCCCAGTGTCAGAGCGGCGACAGCCAACCGTCTTGGATTTGCGCCCTGTCGAAGGAGGCATACAGGTGCTCAGTTGCGGCTATGAGGCTTCTCCGGCCTTGCGGTTGAGGGAGCTAATTGCCATTTCTGGAGAGCCTGTAGCAGGTGTTTCGCTTCTGGACGCCCTAGCTCATGACTCCCTGGTTTTCCTGCAAGGCGAGAGGTTTGTTCGCTCCGACTTACCCGCTGCTTCCGCTGAGGTTGTGGTCCTGGTTGTCCGATCCGTTGCTGAAAATACGGAGGGACCAGCCGTTGAACCGCCATCGTCATCCAGCTGCCACTCTCGCGGGCTCCTCCATGCGGGTTTTTGGGCTGGCCTGTCGCACTATTGGGGACCTCAGAAGTCCATTTTGTTTTTGGCTGCCTGGTACACTTCACATGCTACCTTTCTGGATCCTGAAAGGCCTCCTGCCCCAGAATCTTTGGATGTCTTCCAGTTGGATATTTCTGACCCGCCCAGCGTCCCTGTGGACGGACTAGCCTCAGTTTCTGAGCATCAAAGGTTTGCCATCCGGGCCCTCCACCTTGGGGATTGGGATGCTGCCGACTGGCGTGGTCAAGTTTCGACTACCCACACCCGGTTTGAGATTCGCGTGTTTTCCCCCGAAGCACTTCATGGATTCCTCATACCAGGTGATCGGCCAGCCACCTCTTTTAGGCATGCACTTCTGGCGATTGGCGGGATACATGGCCGACAGGTCCCGATTCAGGTTCAACCTCAATTTCTGAATCGCTACGTACAATATATAGCGCCCACGCGGGATACTTCCTTACGGACTATCCTTGTCGATGTGGGAAAACAGCTGGTCTGTCTGGATGTTCCTCGGAGTTACCCTGGCCCCTCGATTCTGCAAGCGCTCGCTCTCCTGTTTCCTTCCGAGGTTTTCAGGCTTGAGGCGCATAACCCGGCCCCGCTTCGGCACGGCGATGTTTTGGTTGCGAGAGGGGATGCCCAACAGGTCTCCTCGGATCTTGGGGCATGGTCGATTGTAAGAAGGTCTTCCCTTGGTGCACTTTGGCTCATGCCGCATGTTGAGGTTTACCTCACGGTGCCCGGTGCTTCGCTCAAACTCATGCGGGCACCAACAGGCTTTGCTAAACCACAGCTGGTTGCTGCTGTCCTTGACTGGTATGGTGTTCCCTCTGGCAGGAATGATTTTGTTCGGCTGCCACTTGATAAGCCGGCTGTTGACGTCTTCTGCTGGTTGAAACCGGAAATGAGCACCCTAGCTGTCATGCTCACTGACATTGCTGACTGTGTTGAGCGCCCGCTCCTTCAGTCCGTGGCTGTTGCTGGCGCTGGTGTTCTTTCCTTATCTGTGCTTACGGCTTCTGCCGAA